AGGCGTAAGAGTCGGAATCGAACCCAGGCAGTTTAGCATCTCGCCACATTGCAAGTCTGTGAGCGATGGTGACCGATTGAGAAGTGAATTCATCGTGGATAATGACAATATGAGACCGTGCTTATTATTTCGCTACTGCCACGGTTACTGCTCCCATTGAGTTTCACTCGACCATTCCTCCACCCATATTCTTAGGTTTTTTCGGTAAAGTCACGTAGGTAAAACATTCAAATTAATAAAAGTAAAATAAAATAAAAATCACGACGCTTCGGAGGCAACACAAGTCTCCGTCATCAGGTGGGACCGTCACAGCCAGATTTGCTGCATCAAGTGAGGCAATGATTCAAGATGTAATCCCTTAAAAGCAAGTTGAGGGGGGAGGAGAGGGGGGGGGGAGCTCATCAGAATGTGGTAGCCAATGAATGGAACGTATCGGGAGGGAGGGGGGCGGGGCTCAAAGAAGGCACGAAGTGCCACGTAGAACGCATCGGGAGGGGGAGGGGAGCGGAGCCAAAAGGATGGACGACGCGGCACACGAGAGTCGGCGGCGTGGACGTGGTTGTGCGCAAGCAACTACTGCTGCACACGCCAACGCATTGGACAGAGAGGGGGAGGGGAGGCCAAAAGAGAGTGTGGGGTGCAAGTGTACGTGGACATGTGTGTCTACAAGCACCTGTTGATACACATGATAGAAAAGAACGAAAATGCCCATGTTTATACCAGTGCTGGCTGAACAATAAAGAGAGTACTGTTAAACACTGGGGATGTTAACACTCGGTAAAGTAAAGTAAAATAGTGCCTGTCAGATGAGATGGTCCAAAAATGTGTAATTAAGTCTTTTTTGCGTGGTTGATAACATCTTTCCTCCACCCATGTTGAGGAGCAGGTCCACCAGACTGCATTCAACCACCACCAACACCACCACTGCAGGTCACAATACTCTTCCTCCCGCTGCCTTCCTCACACTGCTCGACTTTGTAAGTCACTCACGTCGTCTCGTCCCAAGTTCTTATCACCTCGCTCAATAAAACAAATTACCCGGTGATAACTTCCCATCTATTCTACCTTCACGAATGGCGTTTGTTGATGTCCGGTGGGCCCCCTTTAGGCCTGTGCTCAACAACTGTGATTTAAAAAAAAAATAGATCAAAGTAACAACTGGCGCATTGTCGCTTTATCGGTACGGTGTTGCCATCACTGTCAACGTCATTTCATGTTGGGGGGGGCGGGTGGGGGGCCGTAATGACTCCGAAGCAACACGATCGCGGGAAAGAGGCGACACATTTGCGCCACGCACACCACAAAAAGGCCGCGAACAGAGTTGAGCTTTGGGCACGTCTTGCCTGAGCCGAAGGATATCCTTGAGAATCAGAATAGAGCTCCATTAAATAGGCTTTAGGGGGATAACTCGCACGGCAGATTCGCTGACTTGAACTTTCCGCTTTGTCCTGCGCGGGCAAAATCCACCTGTGCGTCGGCGCGACCCCAGAGGGCTTAAGAGTGGATGGAGTGTTTGGCTTTAATTTCCCAGGTTACAAATAACACACAGACCCCCCCAACAAGCTCGCGGGGGCTTATCATTGCATTACTGGAGCAGTTCACTGCTCCATCGCGAACACGCACTCCAAACCCGAACTACCACGCGGTTTGCAGAGCTCCATCCCAAGACACAAGACCCATCTCCGTGTCCTCTCACCCACTTCAGTTCAACGGCTATCGACCGCCGGTTAAAACGTTTTCCAGTGCCCGGTGGCTTACCCATAGCACTGCCTCGCGCGCCATGCACGAGATGTCCTGAGGTTACAAATAACACACAGATCCCCCCCCCCCCCCCCAACGAGCCCGCGGGGGATTAGCATTGCATTACTGGTAGACGTCGCGACAGCAAATTAATTTCCTTACGCATTGTAACGTTTAAACGTTGTTGATCAATTGTGTTCTTTTTGGGGGGAGGGGTTTGACGGGGTCATTATTTTCAACGAGATTTGACACTGCACCTTAAGTTTCAGAAGGTATCTTCTTGGTTCTTTCGGTAAAGTCACGTAAAAGGTAAATAATAAAATAATAAAAATAATACATTATACAATCATTCTCACGACGTTTCGGCCACAACGCAAGCTTGTCGTGAGAATTATTTTAGTATGTTGAATTTTTGTTATTTTATTATTTCCCTTCTACGTGACTTTACCGAAAGAACCAAGAAGATGAATCCCTGCAGTCACGAAAGCTTTAAATCGAAATATCAGAAGGTACGCGGAGGGATCAAATTAATTTGCGATGGAAATAAAATGTTGGTATCGTTTAGTAACGTGTTGCCTGCTAGTTTTATGGTGTTGTTGATCGATAACCGGATAAACCAGAATCGATTACCAGTCACGGAAAGTCACGGTGTGTAACCGATTCGAATACGAGTCACAGATGCGCGGCTTGGCACGTGCGAGTGTACACACTGCATGGCGGCAGGCCTATGGGTATGTAAGCAAGGATAAAGGAGCGGCCCCGCAATGGCCTGCTCACGCCGCTGCGAGCAGAAGGGCTTCCACTGAAGGGAACTCTTGGCCTTCTCTTCCAGCCACACCTCTTCCCCACCACACTAAATCTGCCGACGGACGAAACTGGGTTGCACTCCATTACTCTTTGGTTCTTTCGGTAAAGTCACGTAGGTAGAAATAAAATAAATCACGACGTTTCAGGGGCAACACAAGCGTTCGTCGTCAGGTGGGAAAGCGTGGCCTGCTGCTCAGGCAGACTGCTCTAGAAGGTTTGAAATGTGTGTAGCCCAACGGTCATACAGAAGTGGGCGGAGCTAGTGATGTTAATGTAAGAAATTAGCATGTAGCTGTAAGAACGGAGAGCGGCCTCCTCGACGAGGGCACGGCAGTGGCTATGTTAATGTGAGAGATTAGCATGTTAATGTAATACATTAGCATGATGTTAATGTGAGAGATTAGCGTGATGCTAATGTCAGATCGAAGAGTGGTGCCATCCAAAAGCAGCACAATGTCAGCAGACGTCGCAGCTGTCGCGATTTTCACCTGATGCATGGCCCGCCATGTGCTCCGGAAAGGAAATTGGTCCATGACTGGCTAGAATACAGGATTTTAAGGAATAGATGCGTCAAAAAAATACGGCATGCAAAAAAGGCATACTTTTCCTCCACTCTCCTGGAATCACATGGAAATGCCAGGATCTTCTGGAAAACAATCAAACGTATCGATAAGGCATCTAACACAGATAATCTGCCCGTTGAGCTAAACCGAAATGGGGAATATTTTTCAGCGCCCCAAAAAAAAGTTGACAATTTTAACCTTCATTTTTCTGAAGCTGGTGACCTTTTTGATCATGTATTGGGAGTCACTCCTGCGCATGCAACTTCCTACACCCCTGTCCAAACATTAAACGAATTTAGTTTCCACCCAATCCACGAAAGTAATGTGCTGAATCAACTGTCCTACCTCAAAGGGTCCTCATCTACCGGAGCAGATAGTATTCCCGTCTTTGCTCTGCTAACTGTTGGTCACCTAATATACAAACTATAGCCCATATTTTTAACCTGTCCATCAAAGAAGCATCAATACCTCTAGAAAGGAAACATTCGTATGTTCGTCTACTTTACAAAGGGGGCCCTAAAGATGATCCAAATAACTACCGACCAATCTCAATTTTCTCCCCGTTGATGAAAATTTTGGAAAAATTAATGAACTACCAAATTAGCAGTTTCCTGTCCGACAACAATCTATTACATCGAAAACAATCCGGGTTCCGAAAAAAATACAGCACCACATCTGCTGCATTAGACTCTCTGAATCACATTTACAGTAGCCTTGATAATAAGCAGTATTGCGCCTGTCTTTTTCTTGACTTGTCCAAAGCCTTTGATACAGTCCACCACAACACCCTGCTTAGTGAACTAAGTTACCTCCGCTTCTCCAAACACGCAGTAGAATGGTTAAAAAATTACCTCTCTTTTCGCACCCAAATTGTACTCACAGATGGTTGGAGGTCAAACAGTGTTAAGATAACAAAAGGGGTTCCACAGGGTTCTATCCTCTGCCCCCTCTTGTTCTCTCTTTATGTCAATAAATTGAGCACTGACCTGGATCATTCCAGGGTAAATCTTTTTGCAGATGACACGATACTGATTACCGCTGGCCGCTCTCCGGATGACGTGATTGCTAAGCTCCAGGTTGATTTCAACAAACTACAACATCAGCTAGTTGCTCTTAAACTAGTCCTGAATACCTCCAAAATCAAGGTGATATGCTTCTCACCAGGACTAAAGCAGGAAGTTATTTTTCCCCAATTATATTCCTTAAATAATTATCCAATAGAGCAAGTCAAGATCTATAAGTATCTTGGGGTCATCCTTGATTCTAAACTGAAATTTGAAGATCACATTGATTATATTGGTAAAAAGACAAAAATAAAAATTGGTTTTCTGCATCGACACAAACATTGCTTCCCCCCTATGTTCCGTTTGGAATTGATAAAAGCTACCATACTGCCTCGATTTGATTACTGTGACATCGTGTATAAATCAGCCCCAAGTACTGTACTGAAGAAGCTTGACTCAATTTATCACTCGGCCTTAAGATTTGCGTTGAACTGCCCATATAGGACTCACCACTGTGATCTCTACATTGGGTCAAACTTAACATCTCTGAATGTTCGACGGCTTGTGCACCAGATCTTATTTATTCATGATGTACTTACAAAAAAATCCGCAGATTACCTGCTGGATCTCCTCTCTGTTTCAAAGAACAAATTTGACCTAAGGTCTTCGCTCATTTACCAGCTTCACATTCCCTATTGCCGTACAAATACTGGAGGAAGGGCCTTTGCTATTGATGCCCCCAGGGTCGGGAATGCAATTGCCAATAAACTGCAACTTGAATCACTACCTATGAGATCTTTACTCAAAACTGCTCTAGAGGAGTTGTACACCCCGAGCTGCCACTGCAATTTAGTGGCTCAAAATACAATATTTCGCTCTGGATGATCGCTGCAAAGTATGACCTGTGTTTTGATTTAGTGTGCTGATCTTAAAGGTGCATTGAAAAGTTATAATACTCCGATTGATGCTCCTGCTGTTGTGGAGTGACTCATGCAGCCAGCTATGGCTGCAGGGTTTTGGTAGTACATGTTGTTTATGCAATTTATTGTGAAAATTCCGTCACAGTTCCCATGATCACTGCTTCATTGCTTTCATGGCTTTATTTTGGTGATTTCGAAAAGTGTATTGGTTTAGCCATGTTTGTTTGTTGTAGTACAGAGTTAGACTGATGGCCTTAATCTAAGTTGTCTTGTGGTTGTTGTTGGTTGTTTGACTTGCATCCCACTGGGATTTTTGCACACAGCGTTGACGTACGGTGTTTTTTCTGCAATATTTTGCTGTCTTTTCTTGGATTTTCTGTTTGCACTCAGTCACATATTCACTTTAAGATGTTTTTTGTTCATGTTTTTTTTTGTTTGTTGCGGTTGCACCCTATTCAAGAGCCGAATGGCTCACAGGGCTATACCTAATAAATGAACTTGAAACTTGAACTTGAAACTTGCCGCTTGCTGCCAGCTCTATTCCTGTAGTTTTTTTTGGGTGCTTGATGGTTTCGCATAAAACCGGTGGCAGCCTCGGACAAATCATCCGCTACCTCAAGGCAAATTAAGAATCCCAACAACAACACACACACAAAAGCGATGCTGTGGGCGTCATCATGGCGAATCGCATTGACGGGGCTTAAGCAAGCGCAATAGGCTTACTTATTTAATGAAGTCCCTTGCGAGCCGTCCGCCCGCCCGCCCGCACGCCCCAAAACCAGTCCCCGGCGACACCGAAGCGAGTCATCGACGTGATGGGAAGTCTACCGGAGCCTACCTAACAAACCAAAGGCACCGCCAACATTGGGCGCTGCTGCCGCTGCTGCTGTGCAGGTGCCCCACGGACGGCGTAGAGACCCCCACGGATGGTGTAGAGATCTTCACGGACGCGTAGAGACCCCCACGGACGGTATAGAGACCCCCACGGATGGTGTAGAGACCCCCACGGACGGTGTAGAAACCCCCACGGACGGTGTAGAGACCCCCACGGATGGTGTAGAGATCCTCACAGACGCGCTGCTGCATATTGACCCGTAGCAATACGCACGTATATATACATTTTAAATTGTTGTTCCGAATCGGAAAAGCGATCAAAGATGGGCAGCCAGAACCAGGACAGCGTCGAGCAATTTTTGGACTCCAACCCGAACTTCGCGCAGGAATACTTCAACAGGAAGCTGCGCCCGGGGTTGATTTCGGCCATGTGGGACGAGCGGATGGGTGGCGCAGCACCCTCCTACGTGGACATCTCCAAGGTGCAGGAGAGCGAGATCCTCTTCGACCTGGTGTGCAACATGTCCGAGAGCATCAACATGGAGAAGTGCATGCACAAGTGCTTGCGCCACCTGGCTGGTCTCATCGACGCCGACCGCTGCAGCCTCTTCATGTACCGGCAGCGCAACGGCACGCCCGAGTTGGCCACCCGGCTGTTCGATGTCACCAGGACCTCGTCGCTCGAGGAGTGCCTGGTCCAGCCCGAGGCCGAGATCGTGTTCCCGCTCGACTTGGGAGTGGTGGGACACGTGGCTCAGTTCAAGAAGACGGTGAACCACGACGTCAGCGAGGTGAGTGGTGCGCCCGCCGAACGGGCAGAGGGAGGCGGTGGCGATGCAGAGCGGCCACGCGGTCAGGGTGGCTGTCCTGGGCCACGAGAGCGACGTTGCTCACGAGACGTCGCGTAGCTCTGACAGGCGCAGATAACGAATTGCGAAAAAAAATTTAGAATGGCAGAGATTGTAAAAGGTACAAAAATAATAATAATATCAGTCAATAATACTGGCATCAAACATAACGTTAGAAGTATTTCCAGTTGATGGCCGTAAAATTAACTATACATAGGTTTTTTCGGTAAAGTCATGTAGGTAAAAAAATTAAATTAATAAAAGTAAAATACAAAATAAAATGAAAATCACGACGTTTCGGAGGCAACACAATTTTTTTACCTACGTCACTTTACCGAAAAAACCTAAGAATATGAATCCTTGCAGTCACGAAATCTTCAAATCTAGAACGTAAAATTACCTATTCAAGAAATTGCATCAAATAATCAATCCAATGCACGAGCCATAATCGACCTTATATTGAACATGATTAGAAAATGATATTTTGATAACATGTATGTGCCTGAATCAATACTGGTGAGCTGCAAGACGTTAATTTATTCAAGCAAGCCTGCCTCTGCTGATGAGACGCTGTCCTGTAAAAACCGGTTCCAAATTTTGCTTGCACTGAATTAATGCTGCTAAATGTAACCCTCAGAAGGCCGTGGGATTGTGCAAAGGGTACTTCTTCATTTTTACGGAGAGACAGATGATCTAGGCGACGTGTTGTCTGCTTATCATTTTTTTTTATAAAGTTGCTAATGCAATAGAATGAATGCACTCTATTGCAATTGCAAGTACTGCAGTGTAGTGTTTACAGTGCTGTACCAACCTTCTCGGTGTGCTTATTATCAACGTGCTCGTGCTCATTCAATTGCTAAACTTTTTTTTTACGGAGTTAACGAGAGTGGCATGCAATTATAGAGCAATGCTGATCACGGCTCCATTGTTTGAACGTAAAACACACATCTTCATTGGCGACTCTCGGATCAGTTTTACTAAGTTTTTAAGGAAAGACCACAACAGTAATGCCCCTTAGGCTTTTTCGGTAAAGTCACGTAGGTAAAAAATAAAAACAATAGTAGTAATAATATAAATAAAATAATAAATCACGACGTTTCGGAGGCAACACAAGTCTCCGTCATCAGGTGGGACCGTCACAGCTAAGATTACTGCATCAAGTGATGCTGCACTTGATGCAGTTAAAATTACTGCATCAAGTGATTCTGCACTTGATGCAGTTAAAATTACTGCATCAAGTGATGCTGCATCAAGTGATGCAGTAATTTTAGCTGTGACGGTCCCACCTGATGACGGAGACTTGTGTTGCCTCCGAAACGTCGTGATTTATTATTTTATTTCTCTCATTACTTCTATTGTTTTTATTTTTTACCTACGTTACTTTACCGAAAAAGCCTAAGAGTAGTAATGCCCCTTTATTATTTCCCAAGGAAGGCCTCAATGAATCGGAAGTAGATGTTTCAGAAGAGTCCTGCATTGCGATATTTGGTCAATTCCATTGATGAGCGTTTGGCTTTCATGCGGGAAGTAAATCGATTCACTTCGAGAAAACCCACCACGGGCATACAAACGGATGCCATTCAACGTTCTGCACAGATCGATTTAAGAATTCCTGTACTGCCATCTCCCGGCCACGTCGCCACTCTGGGCCTACAACGTTTTGAATTGCCAGGCAGTGTCCCATCCGAAGACTAAACGACTCTCAGCTCTGCTAGGCTTCTGAAGGAATGACAAGATCGTGTGCCTCAAGGGTGATGTGGTCATCAGCGAAATGCCGGTAGGCTTCTTCACCGTGTGTTCGGTGAAAATAAATATATTTAAAGTTCGGCTATGTGCTTGGTTTGTAATTCTGGGTGTGAACGACTCGGGAAGCCCTCGTATCCGCGGTGATGTGGGGAAACAAACAGGACCCTGCGGGGTGGGCTGGTAGGAACGAATAACCAAAGAATATAAACATGATGTATTATTACACTTGTTTAGCCAGGAAAGCCCCCCTGAGTCTAAATGTTTTTGTAGAGTCCTGCCAAGTGTTTGCAGTAGGGGGCGATGTTGCTACACCTAATCAGACGATACGAAGGGAGACTTTGAGGCCTAGTTCTAGGCTTTAGGCCTAGCTGTAGGCTTTTAGGACGTTGTGAGTTAATTTTTTATTTAAATGTTTTAATTATAATGTAAAAGCTTGAAATTAAAATGTTTCTATTTAAAAAAATCAGGGAATGTAACATTGTGAAACATTAACTCCATTTCACACACGCGGGGGTACGATACGAAGGGAGAGTTTGTGGCCTAGTTCTAGGCTTTAGGCCTAGCTGTAGGCTTTAGGTCGCTGTGAGTTATTTTGTATTTAACTGTTTTAATTATTAATGTATAATTTAAATGTTTTAATTATTAATGTAAAAGCTTTAAATGTAAATGTTTCTATTTTAAAACATCAGGGAATGTAACATTGTTAAACATTAACTCCCTTTCACACATGCGGGGGTACGATACGAAGGGAGACTGTGAGGCCTAGTTCTAGGCTTTAGGCCTAGCTGTAGGCTTTAGGGCTGTGAGTTTTTTTATTTAATTTCAAAGTTTTAATTAAAAGCTAACTCAGGGAATTATAAGGGAATGTTACACGTGTTTAGCCAGGAAAACCTCATTAATTAAAATGTTTTAATTAAAAGCTATCTGAGGGAATCATAAGGGAATGTTACACTTGTTTAGCCAGGAAAGCATCACTGAGTCTAAAGGTTTTTCTAGGGTCATGCCAAGTGTTTGCAGTAGGGGGCGATGTTGCTACACGGTCGGACGGACGGACGAAATAATCTATTGTAGGCTGGTCCACTTCGTTCCTACCAGTATAACTCGGATCCTACCCCCCCCCCCTTATCCGTGCGGTAAAAACTCGCGGATAATGGGGTGAATATGCCGCGCAAATCCTCTTACCTACGACAAAAATCACGCGCAATGGGCATTTTCGCCGACCCTGCAGCTGCCGTGGGCAATATGAGCTGCGGGTAATAGGGCCGTGTATGAGAGGAGTTTTGCTGTCGTCACGTTTTAAAATTATACAAGTTGTATTTAAGGGACACGTATGGCAGGCAGCTTTAGGACCCAACTTTACGGCAAAAAAAACCTTTTCTTAGATGGCGTGTCTTTCAACTGCCGAATTCCATCACGATCACGATGCAGTTGGCAGTCTTCTTCTACAGCTTCTTTCGCTACGGCTGCTGGTAGCTGCAAGAGCAACAGCGAAACAATGTCGCATTCAGGCGGCCAAGCCAAGGCAACCGCATCAGGAGCAGCGGAGTAGCCGCGTGTCGCTGCGATGTCTCCTTTCGTAGCCACCGCATTGCTCCGTCGCAATTTGCCTTTGCAAGCGCGCGACCTTGAAGCAGCCTCGGCGATTAGAACCCATCGTAATCAGATCACCAAAAATAGAGGCAGATAAGCGTGGGTGGTTGAGCGTTACACAAGCCGTGCGCCCGTGTCATTTGGGAACTCTTTCTCGCGAAAAGCCACTGCCGTCGTCATAAATTGCCGTTTTATTCGGACGCTTCCTTGCTATTCGCCGTTGGCAGCGCTGTTTGCACAATAAATGTCGTGTTCTACGTGCAAAAGGATGAATGTACCTACCCCTCTCCCCCCCGAAAGTGATTCAAAGTCGCACTTGACAATCAGCAAAGTCGAATCCGATGTCACACGACGACGTAGCATGACGCCATGCACAGCGATAGTGCAATGCGGACGGTGGCTTAAATGTCATCAGGCTGGGGTCTGTTCCAGCTGACGATGTCCACGCCCGGCACACCGCAGCACCTCCAGGATACCTCTCGCCGTGGCTCTGGCTACTGCTGTGGCTTCTAGCCACCTCCGGGAAGCCACGAGCCGGAAAAAAAAACACATTCGGCGTAGAAATAAACCCCTGCGTTTACGCACATTAAAAATGCAAAACAGATTCACGCCTTTATAACTGTTGCGGGATGTTGTCATCGTACAGCCAAAAGCTGTGTGTGGTGTGGGGTGCGGTAGTGTGGCAGTTAGCCAACACCAGTGACGATTATCTGAACCGGCCCTGGGCCTGCCCTAGGTCGGCTCAGCCTCAAATGAGTACCTGGCGCGCCATGTAAAAGCATCGCCACTGGGTAGACAAAGTCGGCCGTGCGTGGTGTTGGCCACCCACCCCCGTGTCCCGTGCCACGGCCTTCGCAGGTGCTGCTGCTGCTGGCTAAACAGCACTTGCCCCAACAGTCTGTGAAGGTACTACACTGGCAGGGGAAGGGTGAGATATTTGTCGTCGGTGTTGTGTGTGTGTGTGTCCGTTCAAGGGCAAGCTGTTCAGCAACTTTGTGGACAAGCTGACGGGCTACACCACCAAGAACATCCTGGGGACCCCGATCATGAACGGCAACGAAGTGGTCGCCGTCATAATGGCCGTCAACAAAGTGAACGGGGCGGCGTTCACAGCGCTGGACACGGAGGTGAGAGGTCACCGTTGTCAAGTTTCAAGTTCATTTATTAGGTATAGCCCTGTGAGCCATTCAGCTCTTGAATCGGGTGCAACCGTAACAAACAAAAAACAAAAGCATGAACAAAAAACATATTAAAGTGAATATGTGACTAAGTGCAAACAGAAAATTCAAGAAAAGACAGCAAAAATATTGCAGAAAAAACACCGTACACCAACGCTGTGTGCAAAAATCTCAGTGGGATGCAAGTCAAACAACAACAACAACAACCACAAGACAGCGTTGTCACCGTTGTTGTCTGCACCTCATCAAACACCCCCCCCCCCCACAATCTTCCAACCCCCATCTGCAATGACCCGACCTATAAAGGTCGATGCGACGAAAACGTAGGCAGGAAGACGTCTTGACAATTCTGGCAAATCGCCCCGGTGAATCTGGTCGCTGTCATCACCAGCGAAACGTCTCGGTACTCGCAATTGTCAATTCTGTGGCGTTTACCCTCCACGCACACAACCGGTGTGCTGAAGTAGCCACTAATTTGCTCGTTGTGTTTACGTGACAAACCTTACTAATTGGCAGTGTCGGGTGGTGGTGGGTTAACGACATATTCATATTGACGCGATCTCACCCATGACATCTCCGTCACGTCACTGTCCCACCACGTTAAACAATTAACGTCTCTGTTTTTAAACACTTCCTGTCAACCGCTAAACGGGCCTTCTGGGAGTACATTGGCTCAATATAAGCGAACGATGAAAAGGTGGCAACATGCAGTGTCTTATCACAGTGCCGGATTAAACTAGTGCGTTATATAGGGGCCCTAGATATAAAAAAAAACATATTAAAACATACATTTTTAACTTGCATAGTAAAGTAATTGTATTTTTTTTATTTGCTATACAGACAGATAATACGACTAAATCGCTAATCTTAAACACCCAGTTGTTAATAAAAGTTGAAGGCAGTATAGTATTATAGTAATAGAGCAAGTGTAGAATCACTGAATCGGAATTTAAAGCATTTAGTGCGGGGCCCTTGAAAGTGTGGGACCCGTAGCATATGCTACTTTTGCTACTAGGATAATCCGGCACTGTCCTGTCGGCAATAAGATTTGCTTGAACCGATGCTGGTGAGCTGCCAGATGTTATAGTCAAGGATGCCTCTCCGTTATATATGAAGTTGTATATATATAAAGCAATAGGAATACATTACTTCCATGCTTGATTATCTTACAATTTGAACGTTATATAATAACAATAATGCCAAGCCACTGCTGCACGAAGCCCTCCCCGCACTATTTCAGTCATGGGGGTTGTTTGACCAATACCTTCACCACAGTGATCAATCCAAAATGGTGAAGGGGGAGAGACAGAGGCCCAGGCAAAAGTGAGCCGAACGGAGTAGCAGCGTCTGTTTTCATAGGGGGCGGGGAGAGGGGAGGGACTCAGAGTGGGGGGGGGGGGGGCACACAGAAGTCACGTGATTCACGGGATACTTGGGCTGATTTAGAGACAGTTTTCTAGATGTTGGTACAATAACTTTTGGACCACCTATATTGGGATTAACTCAAAATTTCACCACCCATGCCTGCCATGGTGCTGCTACCAATGTGTATCCAACTCGTGTTGTGTATCTCGATTAATATTATGTCAACATGTTGGCATATTTATCTTTGCCTACATCACCTAAGATATCACTCGCCAATTATGCTAGCCATCACCAGAAATCAAACTCAGGTGGCTGGATTCATAGATAGCGCAGTGCCTTTACCAACCTGCACTGACCAGGGGTGTCGCAGTGGCGAGATGCTAACTACCTTGCCTGGAATTCAGGAGATTGTGGGTTTGATCCTCACCATGAAGCCTGCATTTTGGAGTTTGCATGTTCTCCCCGTGATCACGTAGATTTTTATCCCGGGTCCTCAAGTTTTTCTCTCTACATTTAGAAACATGCATTTATAGTATTTGGCTGCTATAAATTTCTACGTGATAAGCCACTTCGTTGAGCTATCACTTGCGGCGAGGTCACTTCTGAAAAAGAGCTGTATAGCTCAGTGGGTCTTACCTGGCAAAATAACAATATTGAGTTTTTATATTCTTGGTTCTTTCGGTAAAGTCACGTAGAAGGGAAATAATAAAATAATAAAAAATATTAAACAATAAAAAGTCTCACCAGGGGTTGTTTGTCCGTACTTTTTTTTGTTTAGTTTAAAAGTACGGACAAACAACCCCTGGAGAGACTTTAATTCAGCAGTGGATTGACATTAAAGCTGACATTTTACATTTACGATCGCGCTCTGGAATAGGAAAGAATGGCAGCAGAGATGGCAGCTGATGTACTCTTGAGCGGAATCCATTTTCTTGTAAACACAATCGGAATCACGACACTTTCTTCGCGTTTTTATTCCGCAGGTGTTCCTGAAATACCTCATCTTTGCCTCGGTCTGTTTGAAGACGTACTACCTCTCATACATGCACGCGTGCGAGACACGGAGGGGCCAGGTAAGCAACGACACTTCGCCACCGCACGCTTGAGCCAATCACAAACTCTCACCATTGACTTGTTAAGTGTTCCATTTTTGTATATATATAAACAAAACTATCCAGCACAACTGAAAAAAATGTATGCAGGTTGGAATCCAATACGAATTACAATGCACACCATAGCATCGGTCGGCTCCCCCATCATACCATGCATGTCACGTGATGTCATCATCCTGCGTGTATGTCATGCACAAAAAAGTCACGCCAGAAAAATATCATGGGAACTCTCATTTGCAAGTGACCTGCGTATGAGCCATATCTATACCTCTGTTTTACAGAGCTTAAGGAGTTGACATTTCCTCTCTCTTCAATTCAATTAAATGTTTATTTGTTACACAGAAAGTCCCCTGCAGTCAGTTGAGTCCATCCCCCTGCTACCACTCGAGAAAACGCGGCTTTCATATCACACGGGATGGCTGTTGTGGATTTGAACCCACGATCTCAGCGGCACGCCGGCTCAGGGCTCCGAGGTGGTCGCTATTAGCTCGCCGAGCCACGTCGTCTTGCTCGTGAACTCCGTGCAGGCCGCGTGGCTGCATTCCGACTCTGCTCTGTTGCAGGTCTTGCTGTGGGCGGCCAGCAAGGTGTTCGAGGAACTCACGGACATCGAGCGACAGTTCCACAAGGCCATGTACACCGTCCGCGGCTACCTCAACTGCGAGCGTTACTCCGTCGGTCTCCTGGACATGACCAAGCAGAAGGTTTGTTGAGGAAGCGAAACATTCCACATCAGCGATAGGAGTGTAATGGTGTAAATTATGCAGGAGACGAGTTGACGGAGGCAACACGTATTTATTTATAACACTTTACAGTAACAGTCAGCTATACAGCCTAGGAACACAGCCTACGGCTACACGTGCCTGACACCGGCTACACTCTCAGGTCCTCCGGCTATGTACTTCCTAGAGGAGGCTGTCTGACCCGACCTAGCCAGGGTACAGGTCCCAACCACTGGCCCATCGGACCCGGCCCTGATGAGGATGTCGGGAACCGGGGGTTCCCAGGGTCTCACCACTGAGCCACACAGAGTCCCGGCCCTGATAAGGGCAGCGGGGCTAGGGGTCCCAGGGTCCTATCTGGCTTGCTCCGTCTTCCTTCTTCATTGGCTCCAACAACTCCCCGAGCTCTCTCGCGCACCGCCCTATATACCCCCCTGCCCCCGAGGGGCGGGGCTATATACGGACGTCGAAATAGCCACCCCATGCACGGACCGTGATGTAGACACTGGATACATAATGGCTCGCTACATCCCGGTACGTACCACCTCTACAGGAGGGAAGCTAAGGCATACAAGCCCAGGTATGGCCCGTGATTGAATTTGATAAGGCTCACCACAGCCACATGAGGCCTGTCATTTAGATAAGGCCTGCAAACTGTACTAAGCCATCACCACAATCTTCTTAACCCCTCTAATCAGGTATTAGAGAGGGGGGATATTTGAAATTTGGAAACGGTGTTTTCATGATTGTCTTGCGCTCAGTCACAAGTTATTTTTTTCAATATTGGACACGAGCCCATCTCATTGGCTCCATCTCCGCGGTGATCCTCTCGGCCGTATTCCCTCCTGGATGCCCTTCGGCGAGCAGTATCAGTCGAATTCATGAGCCGCGATGCCTTCGAGCGTTGTATCCTACCCAAGCCCACTCATCAATACATGCTCATTTTCAAATAACAATGCACATATTAAGCGTTTCCTTTATCCAGAAAAGTCCCACTGAATCCCAACACCAGGGCTCAGCAACCAAAACAACAAAGAAGAAGCATTTTTTTCCCGAATTCGGTAAACAACTCAATATTTCTCGAGCCGCAATGCGCGTGCATACCAGACGGTGGCCCTTAATAAATAAACCTCACGAAGAAGTCCTTAAAGAGCTGCAGGTTAATAATTTTATAATAATTTTGATTTATAAAGCACCCTTAAACAGTCGTTCTCAGGGTGCTAGATTGCCGGACCGCTGCCCTAGACTCTGATTGGTCCACACCAGAGACTGCTTTCTTTAGAGCCTCGTATTAAACAGTGTTCGATCAGAGGACGACTTTTCAAAGACAATGCATATACTACCAGAGCATGTGTTTTTAATTGCATGTTCGCCACAAGTACATGTGGTTAATGCAGACATGATTCCTTGCAACAGGTTTCTGTTTGGTGTTTTAACATCTTAATGTTCCCAGAAAGGGTAAAACCTGTTCCTTCATTTTGATATTGGCAAGGGAGGTCCCGTGATGGTCTGTAATTGCGTTCGTGATGTTCTGACCACCGCTTATGTGGCCCTTGCCCTGCAGGAATTTTTTGACGAGTGGGCCATTCAAATGGGCGAGGTGGCACCTTACAAAGGCCCCAAAACTCCGGACGGAAGGGTGAGTTTTGTCTGCCGGAAAACGAAGTCTCGCATTTTTTTATTTTTAAACGACAACGCTCGCACGCGCCCCTTGACGAACCGTCGTCCATGTATGTATGTATGTGCGTTTGCACGTTGGACTTCTTTCGCATGTACGGACAATTCAGCCGCCGCTTGTTTTTTTATCTTCAGGAAATTCACTTCTACAAGATCATTGACTACATCCTCATTGGCAAGGAAGAAATCAAAGTCATCCCGTGAGTTACTCGGACAGACCCTGGCATGTTAACGTTTTGCACTCCAGTTATACCACTGCCTCCATTTCTCATAACGTGAAATTCCACTTGTCATCGATCGAATAGTACTGTATTTTAATGGAAGCCCTAATTTGTTATGCCAGATCCCAAAATCAAGGACATTTATTTTGGAGGCGTAATTCTTCACATATAAATGGAATATCACATGTTCTCTAAATACATATATAAATACTCAAGACCATTACAGCAGATGCTGCCATTTGTATTTGTCTTGAACATTTGCTGATACGATATTTTATCTGTACACAGGTTTCCCCTGAGGCTCTTACGCTGCCTTAAGTGCATTGAATTGAAATAAGAGAATACACTTTTAAATACCTTACAGCGTGCCACTTTGTAAAGAGGTCGGAGAGAGATTTCCTGTCAAAAAGCTGATTAACGCCTCGCTTTTGAGCTCTTTCAAATGCCAGATGTCGTATAACTTTGAGATATTCCAAATGCCACCAGACGTCACGTCGCTTCGAGATCTTCCAGTGACCTCAAAATGATTTATTGTCACAATCACATTTCCACTTGGGAAGGTCCTCACCATTATTGTTCAACGGCATTTGCATCTCCGACTGAAATGCAAAAAGAAGTGAGTAGCGCCACCGTCTATAAAGGATCAGTGGCGTAGATGTCGAGTGTGCAGGCGGTGCAACTGCACTGGGGCCCACGTGTCAGGGTGGGGGGGGGGCCCAGGTGCCAGGCTATGAAGACAGGTGGGGGGATTGGACTGGGCAGTGGGTGGGTGGGAAAAGATAATTTAATTCCTAATCATAATATTTATTGATACTGGAGAAATCCGATGAGGTGCAAAACTCTTTTTCACAGATGTCCATTAGGCGCCGATAACAACTTTACATCTTCTTGGTTCTTTCGGTAAAGTCACGTAGAAGGGAAATAATAAAATAATAAAAAGAAAACATAATAAAATACAAGTTTTTATTTATTTATTTTATTATTTCCCTTCTACGTGACTTTACCGAAAGAACCAAGAAGATGAATCCCTGCAGTCACGAAAGCTTTAAATCGAAACAACTTTACCATAACAATACAAAACACACAATAGTAGTGCAATGTACAGGAAAGGCAAACATCACCCGTAAACATACAAAACGAAACAATGTTTTATCCCACCTGTCGAAGCCCACTGAGATATCAACTTATTTTTCAGGAGCAACCTGACCATAAATGATAGCTCAACAAAGTGGCTTGTCATGTGGAAATTTACAGCAGCAAAACCATCAAAATAATCTGCACCATGGGCCCGTGCCAACCATGCTACGCCACCGGGAAGGGATCGTGTTGCTTTAGATACTTTTCATTCTGCCCCACGCGATATATGAGGTCAGGATTAAGGCCAAACGCAGAGTCATAAAAAATATCTGTAACGAATGCCTCTTTCCTTTTCACAGAACTCCACCAGATGACCACTGGGCCTTAGTCAGCGGCCTTCCAGTCTACGTGGCAGAGTCCGGTTTTGTAAGTTACCTATTGTTCTACAGAGGGTGGGGGGCATACGATAATTCAAACGCAGGGCATGCATCAGAGGTCGCAATCGGGTACCCGATTACCGTACCCTACCCGATACCCGGCTACCCTGGTGCGGCCGGGTAACGGGTACGGGTAGGCCGTGAGTCACTGGTGAGTAGCCGTTTGTCACTCATTTCGGGTAGGGTATGGGTACGGAACGGGTACCCGTACCCGGCTGGGTACAGGTCGCCGTTTGCGACCCTGGCACGGCCGGGTACGAGTAAGGAATCAAAACCCGTTTGCGACCTCTGGCATGCATTTCCCTCGTAAAGTTTCTTGAATTGCTCTCCAGTCGGATCGATGGCCTCGTAGATTTCAGGCTCCGGGTGTAACTTCTCATGAGATCTTTCCCCAACCTCTCCCGTGCCCCTCAGCAGCAGTGGGGAATGAATCAGAATCAGAAAGGGGCAGTGGGGGTGGAGAAAATGTTTTCTTGAGCACAGTCCCAGACAGCTCCAGCTTAACTTAGGGCCTGACTTATAGGGGATGCTGCGATTTGACGATACTAAGATCTATCGTACGATAGAAGATCCAGGATAATTGTATCGTCCGTTTTGCTAAATATTGTCCGATTGTGCCGCTCGTCGCTCATTTTAACTTTAAAATGTAAACTTTTTTTTATATTCTTAGTTTTTTTTCGGTAAAGTCACGTAGGTAAAACATCAAAATTAATAAAAAAATAAAATAAAGATCTTTATTTTATTTGATTTTGAATCCTTGCAGTCACGAAAGCTTCAAATCTAGAATAAACTTTTTTTTATAAACAATTATTTAGGAATTAACAAATAAGAGAAGTAACAGTTGTAAATATATTGACATTAACAATTATATTTGTGCATTACAAATCGTTTTCTGGAGTAACAGAAGGAATCATGGTTATTTCACATCGCTTTCATAAGTCATGTTATTATTTAATAGGTTTACTATAACTGACATCATGCACATTATATGTGTTACATTTATAAATGTTCATTACATTGCACGTAATGTCTAACATCACTCGGGGTGCTTTCATTCTTTGTAATATAAAAATAAATGTATTTATTGAATGAAATCACAACCGTGAATCTTGCCAAGTCGTAAATGTTCCTGGGAGGGCGAATCATTCCGCCCCTGGTACGTAATTCAGTTGTCGTTGTTGTTACCGTATTGATCAGGTTAATAATTAACCGTTTGTCCACTCTGTGATGCAGATCTGCAACATTATGAACGCTCCTGCCGATGAAATGTTCAAGTTTTCTGTGAGTAAACCAGATGCCATACCACTCGAATTACTGATAACCCCACGTGTACAAAACAACTGGCCAATTTTTTACGTACTTTTTTAGTGATGCTGTATTGGCAGTGGTGCCTAAGTACATTTAGCAACTAAACTAATTCGTGAATAACAATGCCTTAGAAGACAAAATATATACACAATGTACAACATGGCAATGGCTCTTCTTCATTAATAGAGAGGACAGAGAGATGGGGTTAATAAAGGATTGTAGATTGCAATTAACACCATGCGGCCTGATTAGAATTTTAAAAAATTATGTTCTCTGATGACCAGTTTTTAAATAGACATATGAACAATCACCTACTAGTTTGCTATTCAGTACCAGACAAACCCTTCGATAATCAAGAGTATTACGGAATAAACTCATTTTATTTTTAAAGTAAAATGATAAAAATATTGCCGGCACAGTGCATTGTGGGACGGTTTGTTCTTGTGGCAGTGCATTCCTTATAAATAGATAAACGTTCAATTTCTCCATTTTAAATAATACCTTTTCATTCTTCAGCCTATGGGCCTTCCAGAACAATATTTTAAAGGAGAATTTAAGTTGGAAAACTCTGGATTAGTCTCAACTCTCTTTCTCAGTTAAAACAGGTCTGCTTATGAATATATGGCTTCACAACTTTGTTCTCGAAGGTCTATATTGGCAAAAGACTAAAACAAATATTTTACATAGAAGAATAAACCCAAAAAAACATTATTATTATTATTTTACACATGTTCCTCCCAGCATCCAAAGTAGCCGTTGGCAACCTGCGGCCCGTGGAGCCCCTCGTGGTGTCCTGGTCTCAGTGTGTTACGGTGATGCGTGCGGTCACGATTAGTGCACAAGCACGATTTCAAACTTGCGGCCCAGTTCAAGTTCATGTATTAGGTATAGCCCTGTGAGCCATTCGGCTCTTGAATCGGGTGCAACTGCAACAAACAAAAACATGAACAAAAAACATCTCAAAGTGAATATGTGACTGAGTGCAAACAGAAAATCCAAGAAAAGACAGCAAAATATTGCAGAAAAAAAGGCAAAGTAAGGCCCCTCATGCGGCCCGCTAACAAGTCGAGGTTGCCCATCGCTGATCTCAATGATGTTCAGATCTGATGAGCGATAAAGCTCGTTATCACAGATGTGCAGGTCGGAGCAGGTCAGACCGTTACAACAACAAACAATACAAAAACACGATAGGGGTGCAAACTATAGGCAAGGTAAACACATCGCTGAGAAATATTACACGAATACAACTAAACCATTTTTAGCTTACCAGGTGAAGCCCACCGAGCTATTAGCTTCTTTTTTAGAAGCAACCTGACCAGGAATGATATATTCCTGGTTCTTTCTTTTGGTAAAGTCATGTAACTAGAAAATAAAAATAAATACAATAAAATTCGAATTAAAAATTAAACTAAATTTAAAATAATAAAGCAAAAAACCCACGACGTTTCTATCGCAACAGAAGCGGTCTTCATCAGACTGAAAGAACCAAGAATATGAATTCCTGCAGTCACGAAAGTTTTAAGTGACGAATGATAGTTCAACGAAGTGGCTTATCACGTGAACATTTGGAGCAGCAAAATAATCTAAATAATTAAAATGATGATGTCAGCAGCACAGCTCGGGTTCTGCAGTGGAAAAACAACCCGGAGGCTCTTGAGCCAAGCCGGGCTGGTTCGGCATGACCCCGAACGCGGCTAATTTGTGCAGTGTGATGAAAGGAATCCTTATCTACGGGCCACCTCCTGGGCTTTTTTTTCGAAGCAGTCGTCGCTCCGTTGTCGATTTGTTCCGCAGCTCAACCCCGTGGACGAAACGGGCTTCGTGATGCGAAACGTCCTCTCGCTGCCCATCGTCAACAAGAAGGAGGAGATCGTGGGCGTCGCCACCTTCTTCAACCGCAAGGACGGCAAGCCCTTTGATGAGTTTGACGAGATGATCATGGAGGTGAGCGTTTCATCAACCGCGGTGGCTGCGCGCGTGGCTGCCTGTAATGCGGCATCGAGGTTGGTGGATCGCCGCGCAGAAGTTGTTTAGCTCCCTCCGTGCGAGCGTTCGAGGATGGTGCCGTACCCTGGCTTGCCAGGAGAAGGCGGTGCAGCAAAAATGTGGACCCCACGTTTTTCCAAGTGGGATAGAGCGTTGCCCCCTTGCACACGTGGGGTTTTATCCGGGTGCTCCGGTTTCCTCCCACGTTTAAATACCCACGGCGCAGCGGTGGCGAGATGTTATCTTCCTCGCCTGCTATGCAGGAGATCGTGGGTTCGATCCCGACCCTGACGCCTGTATATTTGGAGTTTGCATGTTCTTCTCGTGGTCGCGTGGATTTTTCTCCGGGTTCTCTGGAGGAGGTAGCACTCAGTAATCTGCACAAATAGGTACACGAACCCACTGCCCAGCTGCAAATTTGGCCACCTTGCAGCTCAATCCTATAGCACCTGGTATTATCAGGCAGTCAACTATCCAGGTATTAACCAGGCTCAACTTTTCGCTAATTTTCCGAGATCTGATGAGATTGGGCACATTCAGGATGATCTGGTCGGAGGCATACTCGTTTTAAATTTGGGTGCCAAATACTGAGAATGGTACGCTTGTTTTTTCGTATCAAACATCCACACGACTCAATCTGACACGGAGAGTGTGAAAGTCGAAAACGTTTCTCAATTCAAGTCGAGCGAAGAGCTTTGACGTCACAGCTATTAAATACTCTTACGCAGGACTTCATGTCTCGATTCATATTTTCCGGGTCACAGGTAGACTGCAGTAGATGACACAGAGATAGCGAAAGGTATACTGTATGTGGTGTGTCGGGTAAATAAATATTTCCCGGATCGCTGCCCCGCAGAGGCCCGGTTAAAATCTCGCCCTGATCGTCTAACCACGTACAGTAGCGTTTTCAAGGAGATCCCTAATGTTTACGAATCACGTGTTTAAGCCACAAATCTTACCATCACTGTGATGAGCAGTAATCCTTTTCTGTTGTCCGTCGTTCGTTTCAGGCCCTGACGCAGTTCCTGGGGTGGTCCGTGCTGAACACGGACACGTATGACAAGATGAACAAGATTGAGTTCAGGAAGGACATTGCCTTGGAGATGCTGTTTTACCACAACAAGTGCACTAACAGCGAGCTTCAAACCGTCATAGTACGTGTTTGATGGTCTCGTGGGGAACTTCTGGGGAGGCCTTCATCCCACAGTGAATTGATAATGACTGCCTTGTTACAGCTGTATACATGTGTTACACATTAGGCCCAATCTGCGAGGAACATGTGTAAAATAATAATAATAATGTTTTATGTTTATTCTTCTATGTAAAATATTTGTCTTAGTCTTTTGCCAATTTAGACCTTCGAGAACAAAGTTGTGAAGCCATATATTCATAAGCAGACCTGTTTTAACTGAGAAAGAGAGTTGAGACTAATCCAGAGTTTTCCAACTTAAATTCTCCTTCAAAATATTGTTCTGGAAGGCCCATAGGCTAAAGAACGAAAAGGTATTATTTAAAATGGATAAATTGAATGTTTGTCTATTTATAATTATTTTGCATGGCTTCTCGGTAGGACCCGTTCAGGGTCAATATTCAGGCTCAAATCTGATATTCATTTTGTGCGGTTACATTTGTTGAGTCAATTTCGAAGCGCTTTTAGCATCTTTCTTCAACAACTGGGGAAAAAAATGTTTCTTTCAGAAAAACAAAGAGATCCTGGACAAGGATATTGAAAACTGCTCAGAAGCTGAACTCAAAAAGTTGGTCGTAAGTATCGAAGAGCGAGTGAACGCATCTCCAGCAGGGTTCACGTTTGGTCTTTAAAAGGCCTCACCTCATTGTTTGAGGCCCCACCTCTTTCTTAAAGGTCCCACCTCCTCCTTAAAGGCCCCGCCTGTTCTTGCTCAGCTTTCTAGCAACACTGAACGCGGCTCCGCGAGTCACGGTTATTTATGTCCGTGAAAAATTGCTCGTGTTAGGCATTGCATTATCATTGTTGTTGGTGTAGACCAATCAGTTTCAAAGACAATGCATATATTACTAGAGCATGTGTTTTTGTTTGCATGTTCACGACAAGTATGTGCGGTTAAGGCAGACATGATTCCTTACAAAAGCTTTCTATTTGGTTTTATTGCCAGAAAGGGTAAAACTATTATTATATTTTCATATCATTATTGTTATTCTTGGGTCTTTTAGTAAAGTCACGTAGGTTCAAAGAAAATAACAAAAAATAACAAAACCTATCTACGTGACTTTACCGAAAGACCCAGGAATATGAATTCATGCAGTACCGAAAGCTTTAAGTCAAGATCATTATTATATTCTTAGGTTTTTTTCGGTAAAGTCACGTAGGTAAAAACATTAAAAAGTAAAATAAAATAAAAAAATAAAAATCACGACGTTTCGGAGGCAACACAAGCTTCCGTCTTCAGGTGGTACCATCACAGCCACGACAGCTGTATCAAGTAAATGAGAGATTTCAGGAGTTACCACTGCGTTTATATAATGGTTGGAGAAGGTGGTGGGGCAAGGGCCGCATACTTATTATTAATATGGTAAGGTGAGGCTTGAGACTAAGAATAGACTGCATAACAAAGGCTGAGCCTTTGTTATGGAGAGGTGCGGTTTGTGACTCAACCTGTAACAAGAAGACCACCACTAAACATGGTAACACAGTAATGGTTGTCTGTCAAATAAGATTGGCAAATAAGTGTAGTTAAATCTTTTTTGCATGGTTAATCACATCTTTCCAATGATTACTCAGTTTGTAACCGTCATCACGGTTGAAATTATGTCTGTGTTTGTATATTTTTTTTTATTTTACTTTTTAATGTTTTTACCTACGTGACTTTACCGAAAAAAACTAAGAATATGAATCATTGCAGTCACGAAAGCTTCAAATCTAGAAAAGATCATTATTGTTGTCATGACGAGCTCTTTTGACTCACTGCTGATACACTTTGACAGGAGGTTGAATTTCGCAATCAAGTTAACTTTACATTTGGTTGACATTCAAGTAGCTGAATAAACTGTCATCTTATCTACATGGTCCGATTCAGATGTGGACATTGTATCTGTTAATGCTAAGTGTGATTGTAAGAGAGTCTTGTCCAAATGATCAGGTTCAAATCGGAGAAATCTTATTCTGAGATTAGAGCTAGGCTGGCCCTAAACAAGATCCGTTTAGAGTTAGGAGAAGTGACAGCAGCAGATGAGAGTGTAAAGGCGATCGGCATTACCTTGTGTGGCCAGAGCCACGCATTAAAAAGTTAGATGTTAACAAGATTGCCATCAATCATAGTAACAGCGCAATTTCCGACAGCCTAAAATCGGTACTAGCTAAAGGGTTGAATTTCGCAGCCGCCCCTAAACACACCGTTAGTGGATGATTGTTGTGTTTGATTCACACCTGATGACGGTTGCTTGTGTTGCGATCGAAACGTCGTGATCTATTCATTTTTCTACCTACGTGACTTTACCGAAAGAACCAAAGAGTTTGGATTCCTGCAGTCACGAAAGCTTCAAATCAACTTGTGGAGGTTCTTGAGCCTCAATATTTTCTGGGCAACTTTCCATCGAGAGCGCCGGGGAATTGCAAAGCGCTACGTTTGAGGTCACTGAAGTGGAAAAGACGAAATGTGCAGTGGACACCTACGGGCTATCTGCCCATTGATCTTGATGATGATGGTGGTGTTCGATTCACGGAGAGACTTAAGAATTCAAGTCCCTCCGCGATTACCATCACATCTCTCTCTCTCGCCACGACGCAAGCGAGAAGAAGAGTCTGGCGGGGAGGCATCACTCTCGCCAAGGGGTCATTCACAGTGGTGGCCGTAACGCGACCTTTGTTTCGGGCCGTGCAGAAGCAGGAGCTGCCCGACCCCAAGGAGATGGAACTTTACGAGTTCCACTTCAGCGACCTCGAGGAGACCGAGTTCAACCTGGTGAAGGGAGGCATGAGGATTTTCTTCGAGCTGGGCGTCGTCGACAAATTCAAGGTCCCGCCGGAGGTACACTTATCGGGCGTGTTTCTGTTTCGCAATGAGTAGCATTGGAAATGATAAATCCGCGAATGAACGAATCGTAAACAGTCAGTGGTGTCTATTCATTCATTGTACTGAATTACAGCAATAGGCATTGCACAGGGCACCAGCAGTTGAAGCAATACGCCGACAAACTTGACGATAACCCGAGTTCGATTCGCAGCCGTGGTTAACGCCACTTGGCGAGTGATGCTTCAAATCGGTCGGTCCAGTGCGTGCCACCTTCACCAACGCACTTGAAGTGGGAAGAAACCAGAGTAGCCGACGAAATCCCACCACACATATGAAGGGGGTTGACCCTCAGTACTGCCATCTCCTGGCCGGCCATCTCGCAGCCCCACGCCTACAACACCTGGCAAGTTGTGGTGGTCGCCTATCTAACTCATGACTAGGATCAATTGGCTTCTAAGATCCAAAGAGATTGGGTGTGTTTAGGGTTAGTTGAGCGTACATTTTTGTTTCTAATTGCGTGTGAAGTTTTATGCAGCTTAAGTGCAGTAGAGCGAACAATATGTTTCACCACGAGGACTTACAAGCCCTGAGGTGTGGAATTGATGTTTTAAAACAACATTTGTGAGTCCGTTCAAGCAATAGCTTCTTCTACTTGTGTTATAATAGTCATTGCAGTAACGCAACAGCGAATCACAATGGTCACGTACAACCTAAGAAGAGCGGCACAAGCCCTGTATCTAGGCCGAGTGGCCTAGACACGCATTATCCACAGCGGTGTAGCTATTGAGTGTGCAGGCAGTGCAACTGCACCGTGGCGCATGGGCTGGAGGGGGCCCAGCCTCCTGGCTACCAAAATGGAAGGAGAATGAAGAATGAGGCCCCATTTAATTCCCGTTCACCAGGGGGGCCATTGGCAACCAGTCAATGCCACTGCCAATCGCACATTAAACATAGTCACCGAGATGAATATACACCTACGTTAAAAATGTCATTGTCCAGGGTCACACAATGCTCCAATTCATAGCCATCATCACCCACGATGTATCCGCTGGTGTGTGAACGCCTCCCCCCCCCCCAGCATTCTCGAGTTAATATACTTTAATTTGTTTTCTTTTTTTCCAGACACTGGTGCGTTGGATGATTACCGTCAGCAAGGGCTACCGCACTATAACTTACCACAACTGGCGCCATGGCTTCAACGTGGGCCAGACGATGTTTTCGCTGCTGATGGTGAGGACCTCCGTCCTTTTGCCGGAAGACGGCTCTACATTGCCATTGCTTGGACTCTTAACAGCGACAAAAATGCATAATTTACACCCTCGTGTTGTGCTTAAAACAGATATTGTTCTATTTAAAGCTTTCGTGACTGCAGGGATTCATCTTCTTGGTTCTTTCGGTAAAGTCACGTAGAAGGGAAGTAATAAAAAAATTAAAATAAAACATAATAAAATAATTCTCACGACGTTTCGGCCACAACGCAAGTAGCCGTCCTCAGGTGAAACCAGGTCTGTCGAGGCGTCGCCTCGACAGACCTGGTTTTATTTTTATTATTTTATTACTTCCCTTCTACGTGACTTTACCGAAAGAACCAAGAAGATGAAGATATTGTTCTGCTTTGCTTGCAAGAGTACATCACGAGATGCTTGAGACAACAATGAATTGACTTGTAAAAGTCTTTCCACATACGCATTCAATCATGTATACTCATTAGCAATGTAACATTAGCGTGAAGGCTAGCCAGCATTGAAGACACTCTTCTGAAAGGCGGCATTTATTTGCGCGGCGCTCCGCTTGGCCACCTCTGTTCATGAATCGCCGGCGGCTAAACGTCGCGGCGGCTCTTCTTGCCCACGCAGACGGGGAAGCTGAAGAAGTACTTCACGGACCTGGACGCATTCGCCATGGTGGCGGCGGCGTTCTGCCACGACATCGACCACAGGGGAACCAACAACCTCTACCAATTGAAGTAAGGCTGCTGTGGTCCCCGTCTAGCACACGCCCGTGAACCGCGGGGGAAATGGAGACGATAAAAATTAACCCGTAAAAACAAAGTTTTTCACTATAAATCCTTTATATGCGTGGCGGCTAGAGTCCTCTCGTCCTCTGGCTTGAGATGGCTGCCACCTATGGGTCAGATGATTGTCTGCCAGCATTAAGCAATTGGTAATTAAATATTATTATTTTTTTCCCTAAACAGTGTAAAATTTTGGAAAGTTTTTTTCACGAAAATGAATTGTCACGCACAACGAGTCTGTGTGGAAAATGTCAGCTCGATTGGATCACGGGAAGTGGGTTAAAAAACGACCGAAAGATTTGCAGGGTCGTAAGCAAGCAAGCATGCAAGCACGCAAGCACGCAAGCAAGCAAGCGAACTTAATATAAAGGATTTAAAAAGGTGGCAGCGTGCTGGAAAGAAACGAGGAGTAAGAATCGCACACGAGTCGACGATTGCTGCGGAGAGCGAAAACGAGTTGATATTGTGACCATAACTAAAACGATTTTTTATTTTACTCGGTAAGGCCCACTGAGCTATTTAGCTGTTTTCTATTAAGCGACCTGGCCACAAATGATAGCTCAACGAAGCGGCTTATCGCGTGGACATTTATAGCAGCCAAATACTCTGAACGCTTGTCTCTCTAAATGTGGAGGGAAAAACCGGAGGACCCGGAGAAAAATCCACGCAACCACGGGGAGAGAGAGACGCAAACTCCAAATATACAGGCACAGCTCGGTACTCCCAGCATTACTTGCATGTCACGTGACTTTTACGCGCTGCATGTGTGTTTTATACAGCCTATGATAAGACATCTGTGTACCAGTTTTGTTTTCCTTGTTAGATATCACCAGTACGGTATTGCCATCACTGTCTACCGCTGCTACCCTGTGTCTCAAGGGCTTCGTGTAGACAATCAACCAATTCCAACACTTCCTGATACTCACGAGAAATTCGTTAGACAAAGTCTATGTAGGCTGTTAACAATTACAATAACAATTACAGAGTAATACAGTCCTGATTGAGGCCATGGCAAAAAAAACACTGTTTTGTGTCAGCGTCACAATTTTTTTTATTCTTATTTGCAAAAATGTCGTGTTTTATGTGTGTAGTCCGAAACAGAAAACGGTTTAAATGGTAAATATTTACATTCTGTGGAAATTATCTTTAAAACTTGCACTGCACCATTGAGTCACATTTATTATCCATCTGTAAGCAACGTCTGTTAAAGTGCGTGTGCAAGAATCGGTGTGTTTTGATGCGTATGTGTGTTGCACGAAATGGATTTGATTGAAGAGTCAATTATGTTTGCTACCATTCACTGCAATGTGAAAAATATAAAACAAGTTAGGAATGGAATTGAGACTGGATTGTGGCAGTTCATGAAATCGCCAGGGATGAATCGCTCCTGACTGAAGAGTGTTGTTGTTTCTGTTTCCTCTCATACCATTAGCTGCCTCGATATTCATACATTTTTATAATTATTATAATGATGATGATCATTAACGAATTGTATTGATGTACGCTCAACAGAAATAATCTATATAATAATACGCTGCGTATCTTGTCCAAGTCAGATTTCCATGTTGGCCAGCACACTCATATTATGGATTGGTAGACACAGAAGGACAGGCCTTGGTAGCTTACAACATTGTATTCCAAGACATTGGCATAGCTACCGAGTGTGCAGGCGGTGCAACTGCACCGGGGTTCACCAAGAGCCAGCAGAGCTGCAAAATGTAACAGGAGGTCCCCACCCCTGCCAATTCATTTGTTTCACAAGGACCCACGCCAACCAGACCGCGGACACGAAGTTGTTAAAACCCCGTGTTCATACGCCGCCGCTGCGTGCTGTGCCCGTTCGTAGGTCTGCAGCTCCGCTCGCAAGGCTCCACGGGACGTCCATCATGGAGAGACATCACCTGGACTACGCCAAAACCCTGCTCAACGACGAGGTTACTCACGAGCGCGTCGAGCTCGGTTTTTGTTTGTTTGTTTGTGCTTGAGCACCGCTGCCAAATGACACAGCAGCGGCATCACCGCCGCTAATGTGCGCAGACCGGTTAGCGACGAGGGCCAGGCACTGTTCCCACGTTTAACCGCCACCAAAAAAAGAAAGGCGCTGGAACAGGACACAATGCATCCACGACAGAATGAATGCTAAATTATGTCAACGCTCAGGATAGCTAATGGTCTCGTGTTCGAGCTCTGGTCGAGCATCGAGCAGTGATTGAGCAGTGATCGAGCTTAGGATCGTTTTGACGCTGGAAAAAGTCGGTATCATTTATGACGATTCCAATTCCACTGTTCCTTATTTTAGCAAGAAGAACATACCCCACCCCCGCCCCCAAAAAAATCGTATACGGGCAAATCCACGCTCAATTACTCCACATATGGGCCTGAAACTGTAACATAATTTATCATGAATTCTGTCGCGGATTCATTACGTCCCCTTGCAGTGCCACTGAATTAGCAATCGCGCTCCATTGAGTTTGGCAGCGGCACTGACGACCGGCGCATTCGCGTCGTCCTCTTTTGCAGACTCTGAACATCTTCCAGAACCTGAACCGTCGGCAGTATGATACTGTCCTCCACCTGATGGAAGTCGCCATCATTGCCACCGACTTGGCTCTTTATTTCAAGTAAGGGATCGGTCTGCGTGCACACACCAACTCGTCACGCACTGCCGTGGAGGATTATAGGAAATTAGCCCTTTTGCCCGTCCTAGGACGACGGAAGCTGTAATGTTTACGAAAAAAATGAGCAGAGTATAATTGTATCTTGTGTAAATTGAATGGCAGTAGATATTGCACGAAAGTGTGTCATCAAACACTTCACTGCATTTCACTGTAGCACTGTATTGATGGCAGTGAATCTGGCACAAAACGAAGTCATCAAACACCTCACTTCATGTCACTGTAGCACTGTATATAACTGACCTTAAATTTGTTCAAATTCACTGCTTTGGTCGCGAAAGCCTACGTGTTAAACATACTTTATTCTCTTCTGCTTTCGGTCGCTCGGGTTGAAATTAAACTTGCACTGCACCATCACCGAGATATGTCTATTTTACCATAATGTAGAAGCATAAATTAGACTTACCTTTTGTCTCAAGTGCTGAAGAAATAAATAAAGACACCAAATCCACTTTGTTGCTGCGTATAATTATTTATTAGATTCACTTTCAATAAAGAAACGTGAAACTTAAAGCGAATTTGCGAAAAAAAATATTATTTCCACTCGACTTTCTTCTGGGTGAGTGTAAAAATCCACCCGCTCATGAATATTAATGACGAGGGGGGGAGGGGTGCGGCATGTGGAGTGACGTCACGCGCGTTACACACATACAGACATTCTTGGCTCATTATAGTAGTAATTAAATAATAGTCAAGGCGGACGAACGTCCGTCTTTCTGCATAAAATTAAATAGGTTTTTCATCCCGTAAGCCTATGAGTCTTTTTTTTTAAACCGATGCTTACAATGTGTGGCACATTAGGAATGGATCACTCTTTTAATTATATCCTTGTGCAGCAAGGGAGTAAAGTGTGGTTCTGTGAAAGTCCTGATGTGCTGTGCAGTGCATCAATGCATGTGTGTACAGCAGCATGTGATGACTGAGTTGGGCCTGTAGGTGGCTGGCAGGGTTAATGAGTAACCGCACGTGTAAACCAGCCACATGGTTAATGGCGACTCGGAAGAAATGCTGTTCGTGACACGTGCTGTTGCATTTTACATAGTGACGGTGCTTTTCTTCACAAGATTGCTATTAACCACAATAAATGTGCTTGCCCTCGATTTGGAGCACCTGCCCACGTCCTTCATTTCGAGTGTGCAACAAATGCCATTTGTTTAAGCAGATAAACTCTGGGTAGGCTTTGACTTTCACAATCAGCCTGTTGAACCAATGCCCCTGGGTTGTCTGACGTTATAGGCAAGAGCACTCCACGAACACGGTCGGGCCCATTTGTCAACAATCATTATGCGCCGTCTTGGAGGGCTACCTCCGATGTTTTTTTTCACCTGCCGTTGGACCACAGGTCCGGGAACCATTGCACTCACGCTATACTCTTCACTACAAGGCGCGTGTACAACGTGCGTGTTTTATTTCTCTGGCTTTTAACCCGCAGGAAGCGAGCGATGTTTGTGAAGATAGTGGACCACTGCGAGACACTGGGGAACGAGGCTGAAGCCATCAAGTACATCACCTGCGACCCCACCAAGAAGGAGATCATCATGTAAAGCGACAGATGTGGCCTGCGACGCAGCAACTTACGGGAAACGAAATTCGTGCCACCGTCCCAGTCACGCAGATCTCGGTGGGACTCGGACAGAGTCAATTCAGCCCCTTTCCGCTAAGTATTATAATTTTTCATTCCTGCCAGTCTGATGGAGGAAAAACATTTTTAGCAGTTGCCCACCAGGTAGCCCTGGCGACGAAGAGGGTTCTTTTAGCGACGGCAATTTTCTGTTGTCAAATTATCACGACACGTCGAGTCATAATACAAGGGGTTTAAGGTATTAAGTTAAAACGAGATCTTTCAAGCTCAAGACGTCATCATAGTCGAAGCCGCTGATGCCATCACCACCACTGCCACTGGCACGTTAGGGGCCATCCAATTAGTGCGTACGCATGGAGGGGGGAGGGGGGGTTAATGTGTAGCTTGCGTATGGGGGGTCTACTGACAATGTATGTAGGGGAGGGGGGGAAGCCTCGATAATAATTTGTCTACATTGGCCTTCAGATGAGTTAGATAGTCCGGGCGGTGGACTATCTGTTTGCTTAAACACATTAATATTATTAATCCTTGATCGTTTGTGCGTGGATTAAATATCGGCCGTTCTATAGGATTCGGGTTTGGGGGGTGCGTCAGGCGTACGTACGCAGGTGGTGGGGGGGGGTATAAAAAGTACGCGTGCGTACAGGGAGGGGTCAAGTTTTGATAGATTTTTGCGTACAGTACACGTGGCACACACACAACGTCCCACGTCCGACCGTATAGCCGCTTGTGAGTGAATGCAAACCACGTAGCACTGTGCATTTTGCGTAGAAATCGGTTAGCGGCGTATGCAGCGCGAAATCGAACAAACCGTACCGGTTTAGCGCGAGGTAACCCCGTCCGCTAAATGCCATTCGCAGGGCGATGATGATGACCGCCTGCGACCTGTCAGCCATCACCAAGCCTTGGGAAGTGCAGAGCAAGGTAAGACAAGATTGTAGATGTCGTGGCTTGGCTCTCCAACACACAACCGGCGTGCTGTGCTAGCGACGAATTGGCCACGTTCTGTTTACGTGACAACCCTTGCCCGTTGGCTGTGGCGGGTGGTGGCGGGTTTTAACGACACATTTATATATTTACGCAATCTAACCCAAAAAAACCTCTTATGGATGACATGAGATGTTAGTATTCCCAGTTTTCTGTTTGTTACAAGCGTCTTGTCAAACTAGCTCAGGGCTTGGCGACCTTCATCTCCGGAGCCGCACGCGGTTGCTCTTTGAGGGGCTGGCTTCGTGACGGCCATTTATTGAGGAGCACCGTTCCCGTATTCACGTGCATTGCGGCTCCTAAAATATAGTTTTTTTAATACAGAATTCGAAAAAAATGTCTCTTCTTGTTATTTTGGCTGCTGACTCCATAAACGAGCTCCGACGTTCTAGATCCATCCTCCATGTCGGTCTGCTTTTAAATCTGCCCTCAAAACGTGGCTCTTTCACAATAAATTTTCATAATGAGCATGGGTCATGAGAAGCGGATGCGTAGGACATTTTTGAATGCGGCACGATTAATATTTTGAGTGTTGCACGACGCATGATGGGCTTATTGCAAGGCTTATACAAAGGGGATATATGGTAAATGGCCGCATGCTGTATCATTGCTACATCAGTGGGATGTGATGTCTAATGTGTGTTTATTGTAAGGCTTATGAAGAGAGGATGTGTGGAAATTGGTTGAATGACGTGTGAATGATATGCGAGTGTGATGACGCAATACGTTTGGGCTTATTGTACGGCTTATGAAGAGAGATGTTTATTGACTGGTTTAATGCTCTGTCCTTTATCGAGTGCAGTGTCATGGTGTTTGTGTATAGGGTTCATGAAAAAATAAGCATAGCCTTTAACATTTATAGCAATAAAATAGGTGTTAAAAATGTTCAAACACCAAATATGTATCTATTGCAGGGCATCAAGTCTGCATTAACGACACACACTTGTGGCAAAATATGCAAACAAAACATGCTCTGAAAATTATTAAAAATATATGCGTTGAACATCTTAACAGCTGTTTTATTATTCATATTCTTTGGGTCTTTCGGTAAAGCCACGTAGATAGAACAAATAATAAAAAATAATAACAATATCACGACGTTTCGATCGCAACACAAGCAATCGTCATCAGGTGAAAAATATAGCGGGAGAGCTGCTGACAATATATCGCGGGAGCGCTGCTAAGGCAGGGAGTTATAAGGGTTTGAGATGGGTGTAGCCCAAGGGTCAGTGCAGAGCCGGCCCAGCCACTAAGCGACCCTTGCAATTGCAAAGGGCCCCGTGGCCAGCAGAGGGCCCCCTAGAGTCACTGCTAGCTAGTGGGTGAAAAAAATCATACATCAAAGGGGCCTCCAACCAAATTTTGCTTAGGGCCCCCAAAGGTCTAGGGCCGGTTCTGGGTCAGTGGGTGGGGTAAAGCCTATTCTCGTTTTCCGTTATCTTGATACTGGCAAAAAGGTCCCATAGATGTGTATCGGGTTATTGTAAGGCGCCTTGGAGTGCCGCTTCAATGAAAGGTGCAAAATAAGTTTGACTTCCGATTATTGTTGTACAAACACATTAACTTCCTCATATTATACGGAATACATTCAAGTTCAGGCTGCTATCTAATGGTGAGATTAATTCCACAAGTTCAGAAACGTTTGGGTACATTCACAGTTACTTTGAACAACAACAAAATACGAGAAAATAACCGAAAACAAGGCTTTTTACAGTTATACTTGTGGAAATAACATGAGGCCACGAAAATGAGAATTTAAATAGCATGCATACTCCATGATGCAGGTTTTATTGGGTTAGATCGCGTAAATACATAAATGTGTCATTAAACCCGCCACCACTCAACACAGCCAATTAGTAAGGTTTGTAACGTGGTACAGCACCCGGTGTGTTGGAGAGCAAAGCCATAACATTTACAATCTGAGTACGACGTTTCGCCAGTAATTACAACTAGCTTCATCAGGCGACAGCCAGATTTGTGGAGTAATCCTCCCGTTTAGTTCCTTAAATAGATGGCAGGATGTGATGGCATCCTGAGCGAAGTGGGGGGGGAGAGATTAATGAATGCATATAAATGACGATCATCTATCCGTTGTCTTAACCACATTACTAGACATTTATTTTGACTGGATTCTAAAAAGCCCCATTCAGTTGAGTATAAAGTTTACGTAACGTCTCCTTCGTAATGGGCTGGTGACGAAGTCTAATTTCCTCCCGAAATAAACAGACATGCGTGCAACCACGTGGCCATGGCGGAGGGGCGGCCCTTATCTACCAGTGGATGTAACAATGTGTGCGTCTCGCCGTCCCCATGCCCCAGGTAGCACTGCTGGTCGCCGCCGAGTTCTGGGAGCAGGGAGACCTGGAGCGCACGGTCCTGCAGCAGAACCCCATCGTAAGCACCCGCAGTGGCTACACGGGCGGGGAGATGCGAGGTGGCGAGAGGGGCGTGGAAGTGGCTAAAGGCTCTTGGAGCTGTGAGATGACTCGAGGGCCGTGGAGTTGCAAGATGCCATTTTTAAGTGAACATTTGCGGGGGGGTGAGGTGTTATCATGCTGTAGGTGTGTGTGTGTGATCAGATTTGTTAATTTCCTGCACACCGGGCACTGGTTTTGGGTGTGCCTCAGTTTTCAAAGAGTCTTCTGGAAATTCCTGCATTGCGATGCATGAGTTTTTGGATTCACGTGGGATGAAAGCAGAGTGTGGAAAAACCCCAACCCAATTGAGTGGATATCACTGAAAGCTCCACACAGATACAAATCAAATCGACAGACTCGAGCTAGTGAGTGAACTAAATATATCTGTGGACCAAACCCATTGCTGCACAGCCATCTCACAGCCCTCACAAACAAAGGTGACAGATCATTAGTTGACATATCCTTGTCTGTATAGATATTGGTGCTCTAGTCACTCTATATCTGTTAATGTTTCTGTAACTTAATTTTGTAATTGTACCGTGATCAGTTTTTGTACGAGCCGATTTGCGTTGAAGGGAATGTAATATGTAACTTTTATTTAACATTGATTCATGTTTGTGCAATATTTTCGATGTATCGTCTGGTAGCTGTTGTTTGGTCTTTGTGTCGATTTCTATTTGCCTCATCGTTGTTCTTTATTTGTTTTGTTTTTGTCAATTTGGTGACCCAGGTCACTCTTGCACACGAGACTATATATCTTGGCCTCTCGAGTTCTCACCTGGTTGAACAAATTCAACGGATCTGAAGTATCGATTTAATTGGGAATGCCGTAAACGACCCTTTGCACTGCAGAACAAAACACCGCGCCATTGCTCTTTCGTGTGTAGTACACACGTGCCCTCACACGTGCCCCCAAACGTGCCCACACACGTGCCCTCACACGTGCCCAAACATGTGCCATGGACACGTGCCCTCACACGTGCCCACACACGTGCTTCCAAACGTGTCCTCATACACGTGCCGTGGACACTTGCCCCCACGTGCCGCTCATGTCATTTAGACATTACGACTCAAAACACGTTGAGCCATGTTCTTTGCAGCACACAGGAAGAGAGAGAGACCACTCTGCGGTTTTGAAGGCCACGGCGTTTGTGTTGTTATTGACGACCGCGCCGAGCGTTGTTGTGATGCGTGCTTGTGCACCACTTCCACGGAGGCTTCACCAGATAATCAAAGTGAAACACGGAGGCTTTCGATACCAATATTATGCATAATAAGGTGCGTTTTGTTGGAGTTGGGTTTACGAAACGTTTACATTTACGCGTTCTAACCAAAAAAAGTTGTCATCACCAAATAACTTGTTTAATTTAGATGCTGGCAGTCGAATAAGAAACACTTCCCTGCAGCGTGAAGTGATTTCTGAGTTGTAAATTGTTCAGCTAAACAGTGGTGTAAAATTGTCTCTTCATGCCATATTTTACGAATTAGACGTTAACGTTTCAATTGCAAACAATTAACAGTTCGGGTGTGCTCATGTGATTCACGATTGTTATTCTTAGGTTTTTTCGGTAAAGTCAGGTAGGTAAAAAATTAAAATTAATAAAAGTAAAATAAAAATAAAATATAAAACCACGACGTTTCGGAGGCAACACAAGCTTCCGTCTTCGGGTGGAACCGTCACAGCAATTGTGCTGTGATTTAACTTTTATTAATTTAAATTTTTTACCTACGTGACTTTACCGAAAAAACCTAAGAATATTAATCTTTGCAGTCACGAAAGCTTCAAATCTAGAATTCACGATTGTGTTTATACCACCCCAGTTTTCCACATTACCCCCTCCATTTGACACATGCTTCCAGAAACAACAGCCGCAGAGGAGGAAAAGGGGCTCGATGGTTATTGTTGGCAATGCAGGCTGGACATTCTTAGAAGTGCTATTTATATGAACATTTTTCCCCCTCTTTGCGTTATTTTTTTGTATTCATCAGCCCATGATGGACAGAAACAAGGCAGTTGAACTTCCCAAGCTGCAGTGCGGTTTCATCGATTTCGTCTGCACCTTTGTGTACAAGGCAAGAGATCGCTTTATAATGATTTCCGGCTTTGCCTGGAATCATTTATGGTTTAGCTTCGCCTGTCTGTCGTAATTCCCATTCCTCTGTCGATCTCGGTCCTCATGCCCGTTCGTCTGTCCATCCGTTCGTCCGTCATCATTTTGTCGTCATTTCGCGCTTGCAGAAGTCATGACATTGGCCCGAGTGGCAGTGTTGTGAGCATGTGGCGGCTCTCGATCAGCAGGATGCGAGTTCACGTCACGTTAGTGGGGCTCGACTCAACCCTTTATTGCCAAAATTGAGTACACATTCTTAATTATGGAGCTTTCGTGACTGCAGGAATTATTCTTTGGTTCTTTCGGTTAAGTCACGTCTAAAAAAAAAAAACAACAACAAAACTCAACGTCCTCTTCAATAACATTGTGGCTTCAAGAGAAAATATATATAATAGGTGATATTTCTTGAAATGGCCCTTATTCAAAGAACATTAAGACGGGCTATTGGTTGAAACGTTACCTATTATATATTGTTTCCTGTTATCGACAGATATGTTGAGTTTGTGTTTTGATTAACTACAAGCTTTACTACCCGGCTTGGATTCTTGTCTTGGATTAATGCACGGCCTACGCGAAGGGTGGGGGGGGGGGATGCGTGACGTCAGCAGGCACACTGCGTGACGCTTCCGCATGCGGGTGACATCACAGATGTGACGTCACCGCTCACTTGCCGTGCAAAATATATCCATTATTGCCCCCCCCCCCCCCCCCCCCCCAAATACAAAAGTCTATTTTTATACGTTTTGCATTGTGTACAGTCTGGAAACTACCCACATGCCAAATTTCAAGTTTGTTGCATGTTGGGAAATATGCTAAACATTTCGAACAGACACACATATTCACAAATTTCCCTTTTTTAAATCTTTTATATTAAGTTCACTTGCTTGCTTGCTTGCGTGCTTACGACCGTGCAAATCTTTCGGTCGTATTTTAACCCACTTCCCGTGATCCAATCGAGCTGACATTTTGTACACAGACTCGTTGTGCGTGACAATTTATTTTCGTGAAATTTTTTTTCCATAACTTTACACTTTTTAGGAAGTTTTTTTAAATATTTAATTACCAATTGCTTAATGGTGGCAGGCAATCATCTGACCCATAGGTGGCAGCCATCTCAAGCCAGAGGACGAGAGGACTCTAGCCGCCACGCATATAAAGGATTTATAGTGAAAAACTTTGTTTTTACGGGTTAATTTTTATATATATAGATGCTTGTGCACTGCTGCAGCAGGAGGAGCAGCCAAAGCAACATCACCAAATAATGTGTTCAGCGTCGGAATAATGACATGTTCACGGCGGTTCTATGTTGCATTGTAGACGTCCTCGCGAACAAAGTTCTCTCCGCGGTCCACCCCCCCTCCCCTTCCACCGCCCTCCGATTTTTGCACGCCGCAGGAATTCTCGAGGTTCCACCCGGAGATAACGCCCATGTACGCCGGGCTGCAGAACAACCGCGTGCACTGGAAAGCGCTCGCGGACGAGTACGACGCCAAGTGCAAGCTGCTGGAGGAGGCGAAGCAGAAACAGACGGAGGCCGCCGTGCAAGGTGATGAAGCCGCCCCCCCCACCGCCTCCCCACCGCCCCCCCTTTCCCCCCCGCTCCCCCGCCCCCCACTCCCCAACCCTTGTTGCTATTGCTGGAAGGGGCGGTCGAGATAGGGCAGCGGTCTTCACTCATTTTCAGCGGCAGGTGGGGGTGGGTGCAGGCGCTTTTGCCGGTAAGACATCAGCGTGAGGGCTGCCAAACATTTGAAACAATTGGGTTTGAAAGCAGCACGATGATGTGGTGTTTTTCACGTTTGTGTATTTAATTATCGGGGGGGGGGCGCAGGAAGACCACCAGGGGTCACCAGGGGTCACCAGTGGGCCTTGCAATGAAGAACACTGGAATAGGGGATTCATTCCTGTCAGGTCCTATCACGCTCAACGACCACATGGGTTGGACTAGATGACGCCAAAAGAGACTAGGCTCTAAGGAAAGCTGTCTCGGGTGTGGACCAATCAACTTCAAGGACAGTGCACATTATCAGAGTTATGGTTTTGTTTGCATTATGACTGCAGGTATTGTGGTCTATGTAAACATGACTCCTTGTAAAAAAAGGTGTCAGTTTTGTTGCCAGATAGAAGGGTAAAAAACCAATTATCATATTTTTTACTGGCAAATGAGGTTCCAATCAGGGTTGCGATTTCCGCATGGAAAATGCGGAAGGAGGGTTCAAATTTTCCCGCATTTTTGCTAAAGTCAACCGCAAACGGTGGAAAGACTACTCCTATGACCGCGCGCTTTTAACAACACGTTAATGCGTTCTATTGGAAAGGATACATGCAAGGCCCAGCATCACGTAGGGCTTTGAGTTACTGATTTGAATGAATATATGATTTCCGCATTTCCGCACAAGAACCACATACTTTATTCAAATGCGGAGCCGTGATTACGAGCACATGTACTTTCACTTCTTCGCATTCTTCCAGCGCTTCATGTCGTCTTCGGCGTGAAAGATGCTGAGTTTTGGCTTGTCGCAGGCGCAAACTATAAGCGCGTTCAACTGCTTGCACGAGAGGAGCAACCACTCCTCAGGCATGATGTTGTTTTGCAGAGAGAAAGCCCTCTCACAGCCGACCGACCTGTGCGCCAAAGTTTTAATCGTTAGCAGTAAAGTGTATATATTCGCAGGAGGTATAAAGTAGCTACGACAGAGGCAAATGAGCGTACGCTGGACGAGGATATTACCTGAGCGGAAACGCGTGTGTATCTGAGCGTATCGAAAACAGCGTGGGTATCTGAGCGCTTGGCCAAAATTACCAGTGGATTTCCCAACGCGCTGCAATCTGAGCGACGATGAATAGTTTTGCATATCGACAGAATATGAATAAAGAAAATGCTACAGTTTTTTGTTTTTCCTTTGTCGCTACGAGTACTGCGAGGGCTCCGAATGGCAGACGCTAGGAGACATCATGGGGCTGGGCAAAAGGGCCTGAGCACAGCGCCGGGGGTTGCGTCGATCCGGAAAGATGCAACCGTAGGGATTCCTATCGGCGACAAACATGTCAACGGTGGCGTCGTGTACTTGTGGCAAGTGTGCTTCATCGACGGCATCGACAAGTACTTCGACGCACAAGAGCTCGCGGCTCTCATTGATTTTTTCACAGTTCGTGCGCACCAACAACGCTGTCTGAATGCAGGAATCCATAGTTCATATATACATATCGTTTTTTCCAGAAGTCAGCAGAGCCAAATGGGCATACGCAAGATATGTGCGCCAACCGCGCGAGTACGGCACCGAGAAAGGCGGGAATCGAAGTCACGATTTGCGGAAGTCTTCACAGGAATCACCGCAAATTGCGGAAATTTGTGCGGAAGAGGGTCACAGAAACTACCGCAAAATGCGGTCGAAAACAGCATGTTTGCGGAAATTGGTGCGGAAATCGCAACCCTGGTTCCAATGGTTATTTTCTTACGAACCGTTGTTCCGCACTTTTGTTTTATCAGGCAAAGCGGTGACCAACGGCGGCTGCGAAGAACCCCCCAAGTCGAAGAGTTGCGTGATCGTGTGAAACCGCCGGGGCGTCTCGCCGCCAACCTGCAACGAACTGAATCCCCTAAACCTGCAGCAGTGTGTGTGTGTGTGTGCTTCACACTCTGCGGCTGCAGAAACAACCTCCCGTAAACCTTTGCTGCTTCAGGGGTGGGGAAACTACAGCCCAATAGACCAACTACGACCCATGACTTCACGTCATACTGCCCGCGGCCACATGAAGCCTACCGCTTCAAAACGGCCCGCAAACAAATATTCGTTCGCGTCAATGAGGGCATCTTAGCAGCACTAAAATCGCGGACCAGAGGGGAACACCTTCAACCCGGCAACAACAACTGTGTTCCTAAGTTTCACGCGCGTAGGTCACCCATAGTCTTGAACGAATAAATTATAAGGTCGCACTACTTACACACATTAGTGCTTGCCACAAATGAGCCACGAAACCTTGCCGATCTCGTCAGCGAACATAAACCGTCACGCAAACTTCCGGTCATCCTCGCAGCGGCTGTTGGCTCGTCAAACAAAGACGGTCACAGCACCGCACGCTTTCAGATGCGCTTCTGCGGAGCGTCTGGAACGTTCTTCCTTCCGTTATTAGGAAGCCGCTGGAACCATGGTCTATTAAATCTAGATTGAAATCTCATTTCTTTAAAACTCCTTTTCATGTTCAGTTTGTTGTCCTTCCCCCGCACCACCGATTAGCACGCACCGTGAAAAAAGTTTAATGCACATACTTCATAGGTATAGGTAGCTCTGGGCACAGGTAATGCGTTCATTCCGAGCCTGATCTGTGGCACGCCGAAGGTGATTTGAAAAGACCTTGTTCCGCCGTCGGTAAGGAAAGGATGTCTTACCGCTGCCTGACTTAATACACATCAGCAATGAAGTAACAGCAGCTGCGGAGGCACATATGTACGTTATCATCCGCTCTCCGATAAATCAAGTCAATCTTGTTTAACGGGTCACAAATTGAAGTTTGAAATACTAAAATAAAATGCGATTCTAAGCTTGCGGCAATGGTGGCCACCCACAGATGCTCAATGAATAAAAAAAACAGAAGCATAGAAAGTGCACATTCACCGACAGCAGGACATTTATGGGAGTGCTTTTATAGGGATAAAGCATGTATTAGGGTCTTCCTCCGTTTGATGTCGGTTGTCCGATGTTATCTTTAGTTAATTCAGGAAGAATGCGGTCTGCGCCATTTAGTTCCAGAGGAAGCTCCCTGCACGTGGAGTAAAAAGTCAGAAATTGTGCGGAACGACGCGCGGTACGACCGTCAAACGCATCGAAGACAGCCGTGCTAAAAAAAACCCTAGTCATGTCTCATGGCGTCGATGAGTACGGTTGGCTACGTACTGTGCAAAAGAAGTTCATCATACGTTGTTGGAGAAAACTTCTTCCAGAATATCCCATGACCAGCGGTGAGGCAAACCTCCGAAGGCGATGCATCTCAGGCATTTCTCCACCGAGTGAGAAGTGAACCATCGACACTCACCGCCTTTAGGAACAACACTTTTGAGATAAAGTTGAAAAAAATACTTTTGGTCACAGACACTCCAGTTCCCCGGAGAATAGAGCAATCCTCCATGCGTCCCGGACTAAACAAAACCAAACTGATTTGGCGTAAACACAGTCTTGCGCGAACCCTGCAAAGTGTGCTGTCTTAATTGCCTGTTCTAGTCAGTGATGGATCCAGGGGTTGGGGTGGCAGCGGGGAGGGTGGGGACGAGAGTGCACCCCCCCCCCCTTCGCCACCCCCTTGAGACCCCAATATTTTTTAATTCTACCGATATTCGCTAGAGAATACAATACATTATTAGCATTATTAATGTAGGGCCCTATTCAAAGAGCGAGAAACGTTGGGGCTGCCCCCATGGGGAGATTCTCGGGTCGGCCTCTGGTTCTGGTTCCACGATCCCTGCTGACCGAGATCTGAAAACCACTGCGATGAAATCTCACGTAAAAAGAGTTACGCTTCCCAAATGTATGTACCAGGTAACAATCCCGAACACCCACCACACCCCTTATAAAGCCACGTGGATTTTGTATTCCCTTTGTTTATTGCGTGAGGCACAGGTTTCGGTTTACTTGCAACTGCATCTAAAAATCGGCTGGGTTTTTGTATTGTTGTTTTGATTAGGTGTGTGCGTGTGTTAGAATCGACTACAAGTTTGCTGCTTCTGGGGGTGCTGATTCAGGACTACACGTCTGAACGATTGAAATGCGGCAGTTGGAACTTTAGGGGAAACAAAATAGCCAAAGGTTGCTTTTTTTTTAGGATGCTATAATTCCCGCAGCAGCGCTTTGGGCATGTCGAGAGACACGGGCTCACGCGAGCAGAGCAGGGGATGCACTTTTCGAAATCGGCCTGTCACTTCCATCGCAATTCATCGCATGTCACATGCGATAAACGTGTACGCGTTATGTAAAGGGTTTCAAGAGGCTGTGTTCGGTTGAGGTTCACATCGTTGGAAATGAAAACGCAAATCAGTTTACGCTCGAATACTCTGTGGGTGCCATGCGATACGGAACACTTTGTGACGGCTGTAACAAGAGCTGCATTTCACATCGAGAGCCTGTTTGAAAGGCTGGAATTAAATGCCACATTTGTAATGTGCAACGATTATTATACCATGCTTACAACTGGGTGTTGGGGTTAGTGTCATGTGTTACATTGGTTCGACAAGGCTAGGACCAAACAGATGGCATGAGAAAGTAAAACCATACTGAAAGAAAACCGAGTGACTTTCACGCATTGGGAAAGTGGTCTTAAAACGAAGGTTTTAGTCCAAAAAATTATTCATGTTACGTGCACAGAAAGATTATTTTGTAACAAAACATAAGGGGGGGGGGGCTACACACACTTGGAAGGGCAACCTATATTCCTGAATATTGTCTGCCTAAGGGAAATGGATATTCTTTCCCAGAAGGAGAACATAGGATAGACATACCTCCTCTGATACCGGCGTGGATCGGATTGGCCCAAACTCTGCTGCACACCGACGATTGCGCTGGCTCCGACCCGAGCCACTGGGACGCAAAGCTGCACCGACACCGTTGACGTGGCTGCAAGTCGCCATCATCGCCGCCGTATCGTGCGCACTGCTTAGTTCACTATTGTGAAAAAAAATATGAATAGGTTTTACCCTTACTGGTAATACAACAGGTGTTAAGGTGTTCAAACAACAAAGAGATACCTTTCGCAAGGAATCAAGTCGAGCATCAACCACACGTATTTGCGGTGAACATACAAACAAACATGCTTTGATAATACAGGGTTTTTAAAAGGAGGGACCCGATTTGAAATCGCTATATCTCTGCAACCACGAACCGCCCATGAATGAAACTCTTACCACTTTAAAGGGCGGGGCATAGAGAGGGCGGGGCATAGAGAGGGCGGGGCATAGCGAGGGCGGGGCATAGAGAGGGCGGGACAAATTCCAAGAGATCCGACCTTGTATATATACTGGTTGAGGAGGGAGGAGCCAATTGGCCTCCGTAACCTCCACAGTTTGCGTCCACTCGGTGACGAACACAGCTCTTAAAACGGGCACTTGGCTAAATGGTGGCCCAATGAACGAATGTGAGAAGCAGAGTTGAGCCTGTGGAGGGCAGGTGCTTGCATCACACCACATTCGGCAGTGGGAGGTGGGGGGGAGGCCCACAGTGTTATTGGCGAACAGACTTGGATATACGGTGCAGCACAGTGCATCTCTACCTCGCAATTCACTCCGCCATAGGCAAGACGAAGTGCTGGCTTGGGTGGGTTAACGCCACCAACGTTTCAGCGGCAGGGCTTCGTGTTGGCGATAGAGTGCAGTGCAGCAAAGCCCAATATTTATCCCGCAGTGCACGGACTTCCCTACTCCCAGATCTGACCAGAGTTGGAAGCCAGACGCTTTCATTAATTGAACCTAAATCATTGTTGGGCCTGGACTGCCATCATCATCATCAGCGACCACGAACGCGTCCAAAGAATTATATAATAAGCAAGTGCATTTATTGTTAATCCAGTGCGATACAATCGTGATACAAGCTTTGACCGTTAATAAATAATAATATTACTTTCATTGTGGCGCTTCTCCGCTTAAACACAGGACATTGGTGAATGTTTTTATTTCTTCTGTAATTTAAACGTGTATAACATCGAGCATTCACACGTCTGCTTACCGTAGGTTGTTCCGAGTTCATATGACCGCGAGTCGAACGATACGAGACACACCTTGGAGCACACATCCCGTTCATGACATTTGTCAAACTCATTGCCATTCAGCGGCATCGCCACGGCGTGCAACTTCATTTACCAGCAGATATTCTTTTGTTCACATCTCGTGACTTTCGGCTCAGACATTCAGCTCAAGTAAATGCCCTTCATTCGATTCTCTCTTTTTGCAACAAACGATTTCACCGGGCCGAGTGCAAACGAAGCTTCCTACGAACGCTGTGGATTGTGGTGGTTCAAGTCGTACCGGGGAAAGCTCTGCTCAACTGTAAATCGTTTGCTGACCGTGGCAGTGATAAAGGTCGAGTGAGGAGTGGTTCCAAAACACCACGATCTTTTTTCTTCTTGGTTCTTTCGGTAAAGTCACGTAGAAGGGAAATAATAAAATAATAAAAATAAAACATAATAAAATAATTTTCACGACGTTTCGGCCACAACGCAAGCAGCCGTCCTCAGGTGAAGAACATGTCTGTCGGGAAGACAGCGTCTGAATGAAACACCCCAGGCTTGGAGCGCATATTTAAGCTGGGTTGGAGGGGGAAGAGCGCCTTGACAAAATAATTTGCATATCAAGAGGAATTTACCATATTTATGGAAAATGCAGATATGGGATTAGTACTACTTGTGAAATGTGTAGGAGGTGGGCGGCGATCTTTGTCAAACAAAGAAACGTGGAGATACGACTGCGTGCAAGTACACCGCGGGACGGAGCGAGGAACACTTGGATGAGAGAATTTACGCAGGCCGAAGACGTCATTCAAACTTGTAAAAAAAGAAAAGCAAGTGGGCTTGGGGCAGGGACGCGTCACGCCTGAAAGGGACGATGATGACCGACGGTCAAGAATGGTGCCGCAGTGGCAGGGCCAAAGGGATGCAACGGGGTTCCGAGAGAGAACGCCCGGAGGCGAGATGGAGCGTCGAAATCAGCTCCGTTGCAGGTGCGCTGCGGTTTGTTACGTCGCAAATACCGTGAGAGACGGTACGAGCTTGTGGAGGCCTTCATCTAGCGGTGGATAGATCATGGCCGGTGACCAATACGATGAGGCCGGATGCACTGGAGCGCCGATCGTAACATGCCGATGTGGACACGTGCGGATTTTGCAGTTTTCCAGACCGCATTTGGCCCCCCACACACAACAAGGATAACAAACGACAAATCACAATCGATCTTGCGCCTGCCGTCAAAAGAACCACTCCAAGGCACCTTACAATAATCCGCGTGAGCGTGCATCATCGTCCCCCGCACTCAAATCTTCACCGTGCTTTAATCAAACATGCACCACACTTCCTCTTCTCATAGACGTAACGGTGATCCTCGTGCACCATCGCAACGAAAATATTAATCATGCAACATGTAACCAGGCGTTCTTGCACCACACGCTCTTTCCCATAAGCTGCACAAGTATGCCTATCCATCATACGCCGTCACATACCGCACGCGACTATTACTCATGCAGCAAATCAACCGTCTATTACACATTCTCTCTTTTTGGGAAGCCGTGCTTATTTGCACTCTCGTATTCCTTGAGAAAAGCTCGTGTTGGGAAGGCTGCCCTTTGTAGAAATATGCATCTTCCAGCACACATGTCAGACAACACCCGCATCCATCACAGCTCACACATTTGCAACCGTCGCTGGTCATGGTGAAATAAAAACACGCGGCATGACAAAAAAAACTACATTTTGTACTGTAGTGGGGAATTATGGCTCGTTGGTGGAATTAACAATTAAATATATTTTTTGGGGGGTAAATTATTAATTCAGCCACATGTCTAGGGTACACCCAGTGGATTCAATCATTGCGATACACCACCACGGTTCTGGGCACCCCACGCGGTGTTGGTGTTGGCAACATGGAGAAACTACTGGGATCGTTGAATTGTTGCTGAAATGTCTCCACATCCCCCTATAATTGGGATAATTGCAATACTATACTAGTACTCGTATTACAGCGTCGTACTGAATTGCAATACAGTACTGTACTAATACAAGTGTTGTTCGTAGGAGAACAATATGTACACTAATGTTGGGTCATTATATAATTACAAGCCATGTACCATAGACCTGGGGCAGGATAAATCATAGGATTCAACTTTCGGGAGGGCGCAAAGTCAATTTAAAAATATTACGACATTTTGATCACAACACCGCGTGTGTTCGCAACACCGCTTGTGTTGCGATCGAAACGTCGCGATATTTTTTTCACTTTATTTTGATTATTTTCTTGTTATTTTTTCTATCTTACGTGACTTTACCGAAAGAACCATGGGAATATAACTGTCAACTCGTAACGCACCGCCGCGCAGAATTCGCTCGCTCACAGAAGACGACGACGACTAAGACTCGAGGAGAGACGCGAGCGAGCGGGGAAGGCAAGCGGTGGGGCGGCGTCAACTTCTCTTCCCCCCACCCCCAACCCAAACAAAGCTCTGCGGTCCTCTATCATATGAAGGTGTTGCCGGCTGATTGGCGAGCGAGTGTTTCATTACGTGGCCGAGGAAACCGGAGCACGTGGAGCAAACTGACGCGTGCGAGAAAGGAGTGGGGAGGGGGTCAAAACATCCTCTCGTGAGCAGAGGGGGAGGGAGGGGGGGAGGGATTTCTACATTTGCTCTACCGCCGTCTCCTGGCGAGCCAGGGTACGGGCACCGTAGCGCCGCCCAACTGGGAAGGGAGCCTCACAGCCCATCCGTGCGGTGCTGCGCCAACCCTTGCTGCTGCCTCCACAGTGCTGGATATTAGCGCCAGCCACTTGGAGCACCGCTGAGGTCACAGACTCCGCCATCTCACGATCCTATATGGGCCCGCCTCGACAACACGTTCATTAACTTTTTATATTATTTTATTATTTTCCATTTATTTTTGTGTTTTCTATCTACGTGACTTTACCGAAAGAACCGAGAATATGTTCATTCACGTTTCACGGGACTGTGTTTAGTGGTAGTGTTTACCGGTGAACATCTGCGGTTCTACTTCATAGCTCATCGGATTTCTCCAGTATGAATAAATATTCCGATTCTGGTTCGTACCTAGGCGTTCAGAAGGTAACAAATTCCACCTCGGGGTTTCCAGCCTCAGATGATGCAGCTCGCAGCCGGATTTTAGTTGAGAAACCGGACCAGCAGCGAATTCACCATCAGCACTCGCCGCCCCTTAGGTTCGTATCGAGGCCCACGGACTCACGTGGAGACCCAATAAAATAAAAATCTGGAGCGCACTCGCTTTATCACTGGCGCTGTCTCCACCAATTCATGGGCTCCGTCAAGAACAGGAGAACTGACTTGGTGAGCGTTGTCATTATCACGACCACACGGAGCCTTTGTGTTCAAATGATCAATTCGTTATCCCATCATGCACGTGTTGTCACCCGAGACTGGAAACCCCGAGACGGACGATGGAAGCCTCCTCACCCTGGAGCCACCACCAGCCGCCACTGGAAGTGAATTGTCCAGGGCGGCCGTGTCGCTGTCAAGAACAATCATCGACAAAGCAATCAGTCGAGACATTCAACGATTGGCACATCTTCAACGTCGACGAATGGTCACAACATCAGGGGTCACATTTCGACTCCAGGATTGAACCCTTGGCTTGTATCTCCGTGGCGAATATCGGAAACACCCCACTCGTGGCTGCGATCGTTCACATGAACTCGATTACATGCAACGTATTCGAATAAAAAAAATAATCGATCACCCACACGATGCTCTACGTGTATCGTGAGCAATATAATCCAGTTGAATCCAGTTGAATCGCCGGATCAATGCAGCGTTACACTCGGACTGCGGGGTATGTTACCTACACTCGAGTGAGAGAGTGAAAAGAGTGAGGCACGCGCCTCCAGCGTTCATCCTGCTCCCGTGTTTAGCACGCAGAAGGCTTTTGCGACAAATATCATCCATAATAGAGTTTTTTTGGGTTAGATGGCATATATATATAAATGTGCCTTTAAACCCGCCTCCATCCGACACAGCCAATTAGTAAGGTTTTTCACGTAAACAGAACGTGCAAATTCGTTACTAGTACAGCACACCGGTGTGTTGGAGAGCAAACACACAACATTTCTAATCTGAGTACGACGTTTCGCCAGTAATTACAACCGGCATCATCAGGCGGCAGCCAGGCACGTTCTGTTTATGTGACAAACCTTACTAATTGGCGTGTTTAACAACACATTTACGCGATCTAACCCAAAACAAACCTATATTATGCCCCTGTGTTCTCTGCCGACAGAGTGTGACACTGCCAAACTTGCTATGTCGCCATGCCTTTGCTACCAGGACATCCTAGACGTTTCAAGGAATCTTGCATCCACAGCATCTCAACCACCGGATTCAAGTGGAGACACCTCTGAACGCCCAGATGAGATGCATTATTAGCACACACGCCCCTGTATATTGAGAGAGAAAGAGCGTAACAGTAAATCCGCGATAACTACAACTGATTATGCATTATGTCAAATGTCGGCTGAGCGTCATCCGTCCGGCCGCATGCACACAACAATGGGAATGTCACCAATTACACTGGTCAACACACTTTTTCTGGCATCAGGTATTCCAACGGTTTTAATGTAATTTTGGGGTGCTGATTCCAAATCTGGCATCAGTTTTTTCTATCACATCAGGTTTTTGAGATATCAAATATTTCATTTTCAATAAAAACTGCGGAAGAAAAATATTAAATTACTGTGGATATCTACATAAAATGATATTATAAACACACTATCCTAAAAATACAGCACCATATTTTAACACTAAAGCAGTCACTGACTCGCAATAACTTGCAATCATAAGTGACAGAGTTAATTTCGGGTAAAATCAATGAAAATGGGGTATGCCGATAACATAAAATGAGATGTGATAGAGCAAATCTGGGATCAGATTTGGAATCAGCACCCTGAAATGAGTCTAAAACAGCTGCAAAAGTCCAGGCCAGAAAAAAATGTTTTTTTTTGTTGACCAGTGTTATCAACAGAAGGCCTGAGCGTGCATTCTTACTTTACAATATCCCAAATCCCGACCGTTATCTTTCACTGTTATTAATTAGCGAACAATCATTGTGTACAGTACATGTTATATATTGTGGTGCTGCCGTTACAATTTTTCTTAAAGGCGATAAGTAGATTTTGCTTAGAGTAGATTAGGCGATTATAGTATTATACACAAGCCACTATTAGCCTGTTGTAATGCCGGTATAAAATAATGTATTTCTTATGAAACATGCTACGTGATTTTTTTTTTAGTAAAATGGCATAATTGGCATGCAGACTTTATACCCACAAATCAATTTGTATCAACGCAATATCCCTATCAAACCCGCAACTGATTTAATGAGGCATGAATATTCATAGGCCCACATTTAACAATAACGACCGCAGAGAAGACTCCAATTAATTACGACATTTTTATATCAGTCCACTGATGGATGAAGGCCTCCCCACACACACAATGTATTGGTCATTGGGGCTGTTTGACCATGCTTCACCATGCTGCTCAAAGCAGGTCGGTGGTCAAGTGGAGGGAAGAGGGGGGGTGGGGTTAGGTGGCAGGGGGGGGTCAGAGGTCATCCAGGACTCGCCACTGATGTCAGCCGTGGCCGGGAATCGAACTCGGGTTCCCGTGACTTGTTATGCAATGTGCTAACCAGGGCACCGCCGCTCCTCCCCAACGATGACACGGGTGCCATGTGAATTACTCGCTCGGGCCTTTTCATCGCGAGGTCGTTTCACAGTTTTCGCTCGTGACGCGTAAACATCGGGGTGTCAGTCGAGGGGTAGAACCAACAGCGCTGACTCCCGTAGCGCCTAAAGTGTACAGCCACCCGGCCTGGAGGGAGGGAGCGGTGTTATTCCTACGGCGCTCAGAGACTGACGGTCGCTCGTAAAAAAACGCTAGAAAAAAATCACGCTTACGTGTGGATTCCCTAACGCTTTCCAACTGACGCACGTATTCGGACGCAGTTTATCACAAGCCGCGTGGAAGCTGACGGTGGCCGTCAGGGCAAAGATTTGTTTACATATTTTGCAAATGGTCCTGTTTGCTCTGGTTTGTGTCCACAAATTTTGTGCAACCCAGTTATTAACTGTTGGCCGGTTTGCCATGGCAACACAGCGTTAAACTGCAGGTCGGTTCAAATTGGACACGAGCGTCACCGTGTCTCCCCGTTACGGACAAAACAGATGGACGAAGCTAATGCATGAACACTGTCAACCTGAGCTGGAGAGCGTTGTTAATACATACAACTGCAAAACGCCTCAATCCGACATCCGCAATCACCCTGCTGCGACGTCGCAGAGCCAGGGAGGGACGCAGCCACACGTTGGGAATTGGGGGTCTACGACTCGCATGAGTGTGTGTGCTGACCGAGTGTGTGTGCTTGCTGACTGTGTGTGTGTGTGCGTGCTGACTGCGTGTGTGTGTATGCGTGCTGTGTGTGTGCTGACCGAGTGTGTGCTGACTGTGTGTGTGCTGACCGAGTGTGCTGACTGTGTGTGTGTGCGCGTTGCCTTCGACACTTCACGTGGCCTCGGGGTGCACCTGGCCGAGCACAAGCGCCGTGGTAACGTCACCGCCACTTAGTTTTACGAATGGCGGCTGTTACTGTTGTGTTGACCGTATGTGTGAAATATCGCGTGGGTTTCTCGCTTGGCCATGACCACAAACCCCCTAACTACACATTTCTGGAGGGGTCCCTAAACCCACGACAGCCACAGCGTCTGCGCCCATTCATGCCACCGCCATCGACTCGCCCACCAGCCCGCCCGCGCGCGCGCCCCTACTACAGGCTGAGGTCGATGACGCGATGCTGGAAGATCTTGGTGCTGTCCGTGAAGCTCGAGGCGAAGAGGAAGACGCCCTTGTCCATGGAGACGATGGTGAAGGCTCGCGGCGCCTGCACGTTGAGCGGCTGCAGCTTGGCGAAGGCGCCCGCCTCGGCGTCCCACAGGTAGACCTGCGAGAAGGCGAAGTCGCTGCCCAGCACCGCGTACTGCCGCGGGCCCACGCTCAGCGGCTGCAGCACCATCGAGCCGCGCGACGGCAACGCCTGCACCTCCGTGAAGCGGAGGCCGTCCCACTTCATCACCTGGGGGGAAAGGGGGGGCAGCCACGTCACGTGATGATTTTTCAAGATACGCCGGTTGTCGCGAGAGTGGTTTACCACGAGCGGAAGCTCCCCCCTTCCCCCCCCCCAACACAATTCAGCACCTTGGAACAGGGTCATCGTGATATTAATTTTTCACGATATACCGATTGTCGCGATCGCAGCTTGCCACGAGCGGAAGCCCTCCACCAAAGCAGGGTCACCGTGATATTTATTTTCACGACATGACATTGATTTTTTCAAGATATGCCGATTGTCGCGATAGTGGTTTCCCACAAGCAAAAGCCCTCCCATCGTCGTGACCTTGCAGTAGGTTTGACGCGATTTTTCACAAAAGGTGATGATACGACGCGATACGTTCAATTTCGCGACGTGACGACGCGCTCTCCGGCAGCGTTCGCCGGGGCGACCGAACCGCGCGGTTTGGCACGACGTCTGACGTTTCGCTCTCCACCCCCCCGCCCCTATCTCTGGGAGCCGCCTCACCAGTAAAAAAAAAAATTCCCTATTCCAGAAATATTTCACCCAGGGAAATATAAAAAAGTTATTAAACCAGCAACGATGACCACGACGTGACAGGTTTTATTTTTGCCACCCGGTTCACGCGATCACGGTCGGGGGGCCTCACGCGGCGCCCCACGTTATGAGGTCACACTCGTTACATACACAACGCTCACGACAAACGAGCCACAACACATCGCTGATCTCGTCAAGGAGCACAAACCACCATTGCGCAAACTCCGTTCATCCTCACAGCAGCGGCTTTTGGCCAGCCGTCGAACAAAAACGGTCACCGCACTGCCGCGCGCTCAGGTGTGCTTCTGAGGCCGTCCGGAATGCTCCTCCTACTGATATCAGGAAGCCACTGGAGATGTGCCCTTTTAAATCTCGATTGAAAACTCATTTCTTTAGAAACGCTTCTTGTTGCATTGAGTTCGTTGTCCTTTCCCGCCACCTCCGATGAGCCCGGCTGACTACGTACGGTGCGAAAGAAGCTCAGACGTACAGACACGAGTAACCGTTAACGTTTCCGCTACCTTGGAGTCACCGATGAAGCGCGTCAGGCAGACGTAGAGATCGTCGCCCATGTTGAAGCTCTTCACGCCGATCACGTCCTCCGTCTCGGGGATGTCGGAGCGCGGGTTCTGGAGGAACTGCTTGGCCGCAAAGTCCCACTGGTAGATGACGGGCACCTGGGAGCTGCTGGCCAAGATGAGCATCGGCTTGCCGGCGATCTCCACAAACTCGGCGTCCGTGTCCCGGTACCAGTGGTGCAAGGACTGCAGCGAGTAGAATCCGTTGCCGTTCCACCTGCGGGGAGAGTGGGGGGGGGGGGCATTGTGGGCAACGCCGTGAGAATATTCTTATTTCTAGATTTGAAGCTTTCGTGACTGCAAGGATTCATATTCTTGGGTTTTTTCGGTAAAGTCACGTAGGTAAAAAATTTTAATTAATAAAAGTAAAATAAATATAAAATAAAAAATCACAACGTTTCGGAGGCAACACAAGCTTCCGGCTTGTGTTGCCTCCGAAACGTCGTGATTTTTTATTTTATTTTTATTTAACTTTTATTAATTAAAATGTTTTACCTACGTGACTTTACCGAAAAAACCTAAGAATAATATTCTTATTGGTTGGCCAGGGGCATCGCGGGACGGCGAGATGTTAACTACCTCGACTGGTATACAGGAGGTCGTGGCTTCGATCCCGACCCTGATATCGGTATATTTGGAGTTTGCGTGTTCTCTCTCTCCCCGTGTTCACGTTAATTTTTGTCGGGGTTCTCCGGTTTTTTTCTCCACATTTAGAATCAACGTCACGCGTTTAGAGTATTTGGCTGCTGCTATAAATTTCCACGTGATAAGCCACTTTGTTGAGCTATTATTTGTAGCCAGGTCAGTGGGCCTTACATGGTAAAATAAAAAAAATTCAGTGTAGGAAAATTCTACTCAGACGAGACTTCACCGTACACGCCCCCTTCAAAGCATCGTGAAAACACAGCACGGAGATTACCTGTACGGGGATCGTGTGGGTGTTGGATTGACCTTGATTTCGGGAACAAAAATGAATGACGGGAGCGATGACGGTAGTCTACGCTCGTTCGCGCTCTTTACACGCACGCGCTCTTTACACACACGCGCCGGTTTCTATTTCCAGCCTCTCCTCCCTCGTGGCTCAGCGACCGATGGCGTAAATAAATAAATAATAAACCGCTGAACGCGACACATTCTACGTATTCCCCCTGCCAACCCGTTATTCGACGCGCGTTATTAGGAAGCCACTGGAGCTATAGACTTTAAATCTCAATTGAAAACTAATTTCTTTAGAGCTGCTTTTTTGCGTTCAGTTCGTTGTCCTTCCCCCCGCACCTCCGATTAGAACGGTTGGCTACGTACGGCGCAAAATAAGTTCTACATATGTACACACATGCAAGCGAAAAATACGTCTCATAGCCTATTTTAGACATGACTTGCATCATCCACGCATCCACGTTTCCTTATAATCCGGGTCACCCATTACTGCCTGCCCCCCCCCCCGCCTTGCTCCCATCACCCTGGACCATCGACAGCTGACTGTATAAGTGTTTGGAGGTGGAACCGTCAAAGCACGCTTGCTGTATCAAGTAAATGAGAGATTCCAAGAGATACTACCCCGTATATATATACTGGTTGAGGGGGGGGGGGGGGTGAGCCAGGACAGGCCCCCTTTTTATTATTATGGTGATGTTGGTGCGGCTTGAGACTACGGCTAGTCTACATAACAAAGGACTGAGCCTTTGTTATGTAGACTGGCTGTAGACTAGCCGTAGTCTCAAGCCGCACAAACCTTACCATAATAATAAAAAAATTAACCCGTAAAAACAAAGTTTTTCACTATAAATCCTTTATATGCATGGTGGCTAGAGTCATCTCGTCCTCTGGCTTGAGATGGCTGCCACCTATGGGTCAAATGATTGCCTGCCACCATTAAGCAATTGGTAATTAAATATAAAAAAAAATCCTAAAAAGTGTAAAGTTATGGAACAAAAAAAATTTCACGAAAATAAATTGTCACGCACGAGTCTGTGTGCAAAATGTCAGCTCGATTGGATCACGGGAAGTGGGTTAAAAACGACCGAAAGATTTGCACGGTCATAAGCAAGCAAGCAAGCAAGCGCGCAAGCACGCAAGCAAGCAAGCGAACTTAATATAAAGGATTTAAAAAGGGGGCCTGTCCTGGCCCATCCCCCCCCTCAACCAGTATATATACGGGGTAGTATCTCTTGGAATCTCTCATTTACTTGATACAGCAAGCGTGCTGTGACGGTTCCACCTGAAGGCGGAAGCTTGTGTTGCCTCCGAAACGTCCTGATTTTAATTAAATTTTTATTTTATTTTACTTTTATTAATTATTTTTTTTTACCGACGTGACTTTACCGAAAAAACCTAAAAATATGAATCCTTGCAGTCACGAAAGCTTCAAATCTAGAAGTGTTAGGAGTTCGGGAAACGTAGGCACGGCGATGCGCGGCACCTGTACAGCGTGGTCACTCCCGCTTTGGAGCTCTCCGCGATGACGGCGAAATGCTCCCCCTTGATGTCGAACGTCTCGACGTCGTTGGGCTTGCGGATCTTGTTGGTGTCGATGTCCTGGATCTTGAGGAACTGGTGGGAGTGCTCGTCCCGCTTGTAGATGTGCGAGCCTCCGAACAGCTGTGCCACGATCACGAAGATCTGCCCCTCGATCACGATCGGTTTGCAGCTGATGATCGACTGTCCTGCAGAGGGGGGAGAGAAATGATGGCGCCCGCGTTCGGTGAAAGATTCACGTTGGACCACATCGTCGTCGTTATTAACATCGTCGTCGTTATTAATATCGTCAGGCCGGCTCAAGCCGTCCCCATCTCGTGCTAATCCTGCGAGCAGCGTAACGATCCACCCAGCACGTGCACCGATTTCACCGCTCCATCTCCGCAGTCGACGTCCTCCAGGATGCGTTCGCTTCCTTGGCTGCCACGCCGTCATGAGTGATAAATTTCGAATCACTATTATTGCACTTTAAATATGATAGGTAGTTGATTAAATATGCAATTTGTATTCATAGCTGTAAAAAGTTGCATATCTGATCCTCGGTCAGGAACGTGTCCCCCTATTGCATCATCGTTTCTCTGGGAGAATCGGTCTCGACTTACGTCGTTTCGACTTACGTCACCTTTTCTAGGAGCGTAACCGGACGTAGGTCCGAGGACCGCCTGCGCTGTCCCTATCAATGTCTCTGCTCCCCACCCTCACCAACGCGCACTGACCAGCGTGCTGAAGTATGCTGAAACAATACCCTTATTACCGACACAGCAGTGGATTAACACATGCATGACGGTTTTGAATTCCTGAACGCGTGCCATGTGGTCGTGGCTCTGCACGCGGCCTGTAATCTAGCACGGTGGAGTCACAGAGGGTTGGTCAATGACACAAATGTGGTTGTGCAGCTCCCTTCCCGTGGGAGTCAAGGAGGTGCCATACCCTGGCTCGCCAGGAGGAGGCAGTGCACCTGTTCGCTCTTGTAGACGCAGCAGCGGTCCACAACCTTTTTGGCACCAGGAACCGGTTTCGTGCAAGACAATTTTTTCACGGACCGGGGTGGGGTGGTTAATCATTGGGTCTTTCCCCCTTTTCAAAGAAGCTCTCCAGCGACGTTTGTTTTTTACTCATTGTGGCTACTAGGGGTTAGCAGCTTGTGGGCTTACCAACACTGTGACTGAGACGAGTGCGCAGTGCGGGAAAGAGGTCCGGGGGGAAGTGGTGAATAATAAAATAATGGGGGCGGGCCACGCGCGGACTCACCGCTCTCACCTCCCGCTGCTGTGCGGCCCGGTTCCTAACAGGCCACGGACCGGTACCGGTCTGCGGCCCGGGGGTTGGGGACCCCTGCTGTAGAGGATAGAGCGGTGTTCTTCATTGCAAGGCCCGCGGGGCCACTGGCGGCCCCTGGTGGCCTTGAGTGCGGCCCCTGACGTGCTGTCCCCAACAATACACGAATGTGAAAGTGGCCCCCCTCTCTGAAAATTAGTGAAGCACACTGGGATAGAGTGTTGTCCCCTCTCGCACTCGTGGGTTTTCTCTGGGTACTTTGGTTTCCTCCCACATGTAAGCACTCATTAATTGGCCGATAACATCTTAATATATAGAGGTCCGCAGAGCTTGGGCAATTGTTGGTGCCGGTTCATCACCGCCTCTGAGTCTTTCTGTTCCTACGAGAGTGAGTGACTATCGTGCAGCGGCGTGTTACAAGTCAAGTATCATCATCATCATAATTAAAGTGACGGGCACCAAGTGAGCAAAGCCGTAGTACCGGTGATGTTATCAAAGACTCGGAACACCCTCTCAACGTGGTCCCACTCCAGCACGGTGCAGTTCCCCACCAGGGGCTGAGCCACGACCACGTTCACCTCGCCCTTGTACGGGAACGTCTCCACAGACATGGACTGCATGGGCAAGGTCTGCCACAGCACGAACTCTGCACGCACAAAACGCACAAACGGCACGGACCCCCCCACCAACCCCCCCGTGTAGCCTCAGCAGGGGCAAGTGATGTCAGCGAGCAGCTATAAACGAACAGCCATCGAACAAAGACGGTTACCGCATCGCGCGCTTTCAGATGCACTTCTGCGGCCGTCTGGAACGCTCTTCCTTCCGATCTTAGGAAGACACTGGAGCTGTGCACTTTTAAATCTAGATAGAAAACTAATTTCTTTAGAACTGCTTTTTGTGTTTAGTTTGTTGTCCTATTCCCGCATCTGCGATGAGCACGGTTGGCTACGTACGGTGCGAAAGAAGTTCAACGTGCATACATTAAGGCCGGCATCGGCCACGAGGGGTAAGGTATGGACAAAACCCCGCACACAATATCACACAACAACGACAAATATCCCCTGTACAGCCTACAAAGGCCATTGGGGAAAGTGCTGTTGGCGAGCACCTATTGAGACCGGCATGGCACACGAGTGGGTGAGTGTGGCCATCACCACGCCCGGCCGACTTTGTCTCCTCAGTGGTGATGTTTACACACCAGGTACTCATTTAAGCCCGAGTTAACCTGTTGCATCGAGCAGTATGTCACAATGTTTAGGAAAAAGTCCCAGCAAATAACACCACTCGAGGTCACTTTAAAACGTCCTCTATGTCCATACGAGGAGCACAACTAATACAGGATTTGCCCCCCTGCAAAGCGTGTTCAGTGCATATCAATCAAACTGATTTAAGGGACTCGCTGTCCCACCCACATTGCATATTATGAGAGTAATGTTCGTCGCATGACAGTCAAAGCGATAATTCTTCGAGCTGGGTGAAGGCAAGCTCAGTGAAAAAAAAAAAAACTTTAATATTTAATTTTTTTTGTTCTGTGCAGGCATTCGATGACCCGGTACAGACAATCCGGCTCGTGCCGCACTCATCCCGGTTTAATCGCGGGCCGTTTGAAAACCCCGATTTTGTATCTGGCTGAGTGCCTTGACCTGCGGACGCTGCCCCGCGCCACCTCGAGGCTTGGCCACGCGAGACGGCGCCAGGCCCTCGTCACGTACCAGCGAGTGCGTAAAACAGAACGGCGTTGCTCCGACATGGTTGGTATCACTCGGGGCGGCGGGCACCACCGGAGGGCCTTACGTGGAGAGGCGGGCGCGCGATGGCAAATTCACCAACGCGCGAGGAGGAGGAGGAGGCGCGTTTTGGTTAAGTCTGTGCCGCAGTGCGCAACACGCCGTGCCGTGGATTTACGTCGAGAGATCCGTGCCGCGTACTTTTTTATACATTTTTATTGGGTTTTTTTTCCGCCCAATTGGATTTTTACTGCTGGGCTGTACTACAGGCACCCAGAGCAGGCTGAGCGGGGTTAATCATCGACGATTCCCTCCACGTACACAAGAGACGACTTTCACATGACAGGGAACAGCTCTGGAATTAAATACCATAATGCATGCTCTTATAATAAACCGTAGAGAAAGCCTGTTTTTTTTTCATCTGAGGTGATATGGGGGTTGCTAGTTTACGGACACTATTCCTGTGTTAATCCAAGCAAATCGCTCCTTTTAATCCGGGCCGTAAAGCATGGATGAATGTGGATTGTAGGGACAATTTACTGCCTCTTTCAGTAACTGGTCTCATCCATGTTTTTTCTTAAGGTGGATAATGCGATGAAATGGATGTCTGCGGTGACCACTTAATCAAGCTGCAGCCACGACAGCAGCATTGAGATGGGCATCACCATCGTCATCAGCAACAGCAGCAGTCGCGACAAGATGATCATCACCATCATCATGATTGGTCATCAACAGTCACAGCAAAAGCAATATAACAAGAGGTTCTCCTCTTATCTTATCTACATTTATATAGCACATTAATCCAAGGTACTTCACGGCAATTGTGAAAATGATTAATGTGGTGAGACAGAGAGTGGGGTCATTATTACAAGTGGTAGTGTCACGGTTGAGAGAGCAGGGGGTAGAGGTGATGTAGAGGGGTAGATCTGGTCGTAGCTGGGGGCTGCGGCAGGGAGCAGGAGTAGTAGTAGGGGTAGTGATAGAGGTTGTGGTCGTGGTAGGGGTTGGGTAGTGATGGGGGTTGGGGTAGTGATAGGGGTTGGGGTAGTGATAGGGGTTGGGGTAGTGATAGGGGTTGGGTAGTGATGGGGGTTGGGGTCGTGGTAGTGATAGGGGTAGTGATAGGGGTTGGGGTAGTGATAGGGCTTGGGGTAGTGATAGGGGTAGTGATAGGGGTAGTGATAGGGGTAGTGATAGGGGTAGTGATAGGGGTTGGGTCGTGATAGGGGTTGGGGTCGTGGTAGGGGTTGGGGTAGTGATAGGGGTAGTGATAGGGGTTGGGGTAGTGATAGGGGTAGTGATAGGGGTTGGGGAAGTGATAGGGGTTGGGGTAGTGACAGGGGTTGGGGTAGTGATAGGGGTAGTGATAGGGGTAGTGATAGGGGTTGGGGTAGTGATAGGGGTAGTGATAGGGGTTAGGGTAGTGATAGGGGTTGGGGTAGTGATAGGGGTTGGGGTAGTGATAGGGGTTGGGGTAGTGATAGGGGTAGTGATAGGGGTTGGGGTAGTGATAGGGGTAGTGATAGGGATAGTGATAGGGGTAGTGATAGGGATAGTGATAGGGGCAGTGATAGGGATAGTGACAGGGGTAGTGATAGGAGTAGTGATAGGGGTAGTGATAGGGGTTGGGGTAGTGACAGGGGTAGTGACAGGGGTAGTGACAGGGGTAGTGACAGGAGTAGTGATAAGGGTTGCGGTAGGCCTATTCGTAGCTGGGGGGCAGGAGCATGGAGGAGCAGTAGCAGGATTGGCCAGGGAGTAGAGATGGGGTGATTGTTTTAAGGGGGCAACGGAAGCAGGTCAGTGAAGACGATTGCTCGACGTGCAGTGGGAGTTTATTGCAAGTGAAGGGGACGCGAGAAGGGAAATGGAACGACAGCGCGACTGGGCGCAGGCCGAGGGAGGCACAGATCGAGAGAGACTGTGAGCGTAGAGGACGAGATGGGACAGAGTAGTCAGAGATGAGAGAAGCACGATAGGGTGAGGCAAGACCATGGAGGGATTTAAATAGTTAAAGAGTCGCGTGAGAAATGTTAAACAGACGGCAATGGTAGATCTTGTTCGCTCTTAAACCGCCAGGTGGATAACTGTAGTTCATGTGGGTTGACTCGGGTGGGGGGAGGGTAATAGGGACACAGTTAAGAGGGTTTTCATTGCATTCAATCAGCCTCTGGCATGGCCGCAAGTAAATGCTGGAATGGGTATGGAAGATCGCGATTTCAAACCTCACCTCGGGGCCACCCCTCCGAATGTTGCCTCTAAGGCCGACAAAATTAACAAAACTTTGTTGAATTTCGATTTAAAGCTTTCGTGACTGCAGGGATTCATCTTCTTGTTTCTTTCGGTAAAGTCACGTAGAAGGGAAGTAATAAAATAATAAAAATAAAACATAATAAAACAATTCTCACGACGTTTCGGCTACAACGCAAGCAGCCGTCTTCAGGTGAAGAATGAGACACTACCAAACTAGGAGCTTATATATAAGCTGCATTGGGGGTTGAAGAGCGCCTTAACAAAAAGAATGTGCATGTGAAGAGGGATTTAGCATATTCATGGAAAATGCGTAGGCGTTGGGCGGGGGGGTGTCAAAGTCATATTATGCCCATGCATTATGCAGGATCAGCAGCAACCAAGGGGGGGTGCAGGGATTAGCAGTAACAAAGGAAAGGAATGTTAATGATATGTAGCTGCAGTTACTCAACAACCACGTAGAAAACTAAAGTATAAACTACATAAAAAACTAAAGTGTAAACTGCATCGCACCATCAGTATACTTACTATACTCTATAATAAGCTGAGTTACTAACAGCAAGTAATACATTACAATTTTACCTCGTAAAAATTCTATAATATGCTTCCATCTAAACCTTATTCTCTTACATCACACGAGCATATACCGTACTATATACTGCCATAGATAAACCCAACATTAAATTATATACTGTATTGCTGTAAACCAACCTATATCTTATACATTTAATATCACACTATGTATTATTCTACACACCCTAATGTGTATCGAAATGGTTTATTACGTCCTTCCAATGATTGCTGAGCCAGAATCCATCTTCTCGGTTAAAATTGTCTCTGTGTTTGTATATGTGGATCGCCTCATGAACGAATCTCTCATGATAGCCAGATGGCTTGCAGAGAACCTCTGTCTTGGAGAAGTCAATATCATGTGAGCCCACTGAGTTGTAACAGTGATCTGCCACGGCTGAGGTGTTAGTCCTACCGTGTTTCAGGTCAGCTTTATGTTCACGGATGCGGTCCGAGACATGTCGTTTGGTTTCACCAATGTAACTGCTACCACAGAGGAAACTTAGTTTGTAGACGCCAGGGTACTGTATGTCTGGAACCACATCTTTTACAGACGGTACCAGATCACGGATTTTATGTACTGTGTTGAATCGGACCTGGATCTTGTGTTTAATCAGGATTTTGGAGATCTTTTTTGTGACCCCAGCAATGTAGGGTAAGGTGATGGTCTTGAAAGGCTCCTCAACAGGGTCCTTCTTGATGGTTGGAGTGATGGCTTTGCGGATTGTATAGTCGGAGTAACCATTTGCCTTAAGAGCTTGGCGTACGTGTTTGAGTTCACTGGAAATGTGTTCATGGTCGGAGATGCATTGGGCTCTATGATATAGAGTCTTGATGAGGGAATTCTTCTGGGATGGATGGTGGTGAGTAACTGCAGCTACATATCATTAACATTCCTTTCCTTTGTTACTGCTAATCCCTGCACCCCCCCTTGGTTGCTGCTGATCCTGCATAATGCATGGGCATAATATGACTTTGACACCCCCCCGCCCAACGCCTACGCATTTTTCCATGAATATGCTAAATCCCTCTTCACATGCACATTCTTTTTGTTAAGGCGCTCTTCAACCCCCAATGCAGCTTATATATAAGCTCCTAGTTTGGTAGTGTCTCATTCTTCACCTGAAGACGGCTGCTTGCGTTGTAGCCGAAACGTCGTGAGAATTGTTTTATTATGTTTTATTTTTATTATTTTATTACTTCCCTTCTACGTGACTTTACCGAAAGAAACAAGAAGAAAAAAAACTTTGTTGGTAGAATAAAATAAAACAAAAAATAACCAGCCAGCAGTTCTACTGCTGGATTCTTTTTTCCGCCTGAGGACGACCGCTTGTGTTGCGATCGAAACGTCGTGAAATATTGTTTTTTGTTTCATTTTATTTTTCTACCTACGTGACTTTACCGAAAGAACCAAAAAGTATGGATTCCTGCAGTCACGAAAGCTTCAAATCAAGATTTGTTGGAAGAATTGCCAGTGGTTGTCCGATGGATAAACTGGCTCCTGCCATATAAATGTGGACTTTCCTCCGCTGACTAATGACAGCCCTACAATTAATGCTTATTTCAGTAGTTGAGCGAGTGGGAATGTATGTATGCATGTTGAACTTCCTTCGTACCGTACGTAGTCAACCGTGCTAATCGGAATTATACTGCCCTCTGCTGCGGGGACCAGATGTCAATTGAAGCGATCTCAGGGGTAGATCTGATATATCCGTTTCCGTGGCCCATTCAACTTAACATCGAAGGCTGGCACTGCTCTCTGATTTGCACGGTTGGCTGCATATGCTGTGAAAGAAGTTCAACATAGACACATACATAGCGCCCTGCAGGGAGAGATGCTAATAAACAGCTACAAAGCGGAATAACATTGGGAAAAATTCCCCGGCCCAAAAAAAAAAACACGAAATTCCATTTTAGCCCAAGAGTTCGCGCGGCGAGATGCCCCCGGGATCGCCGGTACCCGTGGTGATGCAGGAGAAGTCGCTGGCGCTGAGGCTGCGCGTGCTGCGCCCCGCGAACTCGGGCGGCGAGGCGCAGGCGATGTCGTGCACCGACGCGTTGGTGGAATGCAGCCACGACACGAGCCACTTCATCTTGCAGTCGCAGTGCAGCGCGTTTCCCCGCAGGTCGCTGCAAAGACCGCGGCCCACTGCGCGCGTCCATCAGGGGTTCTCAGAAGGTAGGCAAGGAGGTGGGGGGGGGGGGGGGGTTCCCGGCCTGCTAAGGCTTACGCTGCCAGAGGTGGCTCGCGAAACCTGCCCTCTTTGCCTGATCTCTCGTCGTCGTCATCGCCGGCTTGCATGCGGGTGTCGCGTGTACGTCACCGTGATGGTAACGCACGAACGCTGCGAGCAAGCCACCCGGGATGCGCCAATCTCGTCAGATCTCCGAAGCTAAGCAGGTTAGAGCCTGGATAGCGCTGGGATGGGTGAGCCACCGTGTACACAAACAGGTGTTGTAGCCTGCTGAAAGTCGGCAGTGACGGCAGTGCGGCAATATCCATGTTGTTGCACTGCACTCTGCGCCAGCGTGTACGCGCTCCCTGACCTCACTGAGCCACACCGTGACCAGCGATCCAAAAACATCCCTGGCCAACGCGACTGTGGGGAGGAGGCCGTCGTTTAGCGGTGGGGCTTTTGTCATCAACAGGCGTGGACATGGGGGGGGGGGGGGGGGGGTCATGCTTGGGGTCATTGTCCAGTCGCTTACTTGAATGTCGCGCGTGTGGCAGGACACTGGAGCGACCGGCGAACACCCGGCACATCACGTTACGTCGATGGAGATACTATGTTTTACGCTCACTGATTTTTTTCTTGCCAAATATGCGCTGATGGTATGCCAATGCCGCAGGCAGGTTAACGGAACGGGCAGAACTGTGCCGATTTAGACGGAATAAGTGAGAAACAATACAAACGAGATAGGGAGGGGGTGGTAAATGAGAAGAAAAAAAATAACTCGTTATCGAATCTCAAAGCTGCAAGGTCACCGTCGCTGGTACCGCTGTGAGGGTGAGTTACTACCTGCCGAGTGAAAGCCCACGGTTAGGGAATAATGCTCCAAAGACCGTACGTTTCGATCAACAGCATACTTGCTCTTAGTTCTTTCGGTAAAGTCAGGTAGGTAAAAAATGAAATTAAAATTAATACAAAATAAAATAATAACTTATTATTTTATTATAATAATATTATAGTATAAAAGAAATAAAACATGTATTATTTTATTTTTGATAAATTCTTATTAATTTTAATTTCATTTTTTATCTACGTGACTTTACCGAAAGAATTAAGAGTATGAATCTGTGCAGTCACGAAAGCTTCGAATCTAGAATTAAAGCATACTTGCTGTACTGCCACCTACTAAGCCCCGCAAGGTTGGCACAAGGTAACGCCGCGTGCCACCGCCAAGGTAACGTGCGTTTGCGGTGCTTGAAGATGCAAATGTACTTACACGTCCGTCATGGCATCCAACCCTTTGAACACATCGCGTGGAAGCGATCTCAGCTTGTTGTTTGCCAGAGACCTGCGCGGACATCACACGCCAGCGACGGGGACTCGTGTGGGTCGCGTGAACGCAGCGTGCTCGGCTGTGCGTTATAAAACAGCGACAATAACAGAAACGGAGAGAATGTCCCAGGCCCCGAGAGTGTCATTAGTTTTTAACAAGGGCACCCCGCCCCATGCCATGCGTTTATGGGACCACTTTATGTCGGCAGTTAAAAAAAAAGAGAGTAAACAGCCATCACAGCACATTGTGCAATAATATTGTGCGTGCCTGCGGCTGTGCGGTGCAAATGAAACACAGAGAGGGCAAAACGCAATTTTATAGAAATTGCCCGCGCCGATCATCACCAGGCAACATTTTATGCCCCGTACTCAAGTGTCATTAACAATTAAAATAAATTAACAACTTACATAATATTAGGCGAACGCAAATTGTCTCTGGCAAGCTTCGAAAAAAAATCCATTTGCGTAAGTTGACAAAAACCAGAAGCTAAAGGCTTCCAGGAAGAGATGTATGGACGTTCACTCTCCATAGGAACTGCGGTCAGGCATACGCGGTGGGGAATCTCTGTCAAAACGCGTAGCAGGCGCGACGGAATCAATCGGCGTCTTTATCTCTCGACCAGTGAGATCCCGGTGAGCATTTTCCGATTTTCTTAGCAAGCATTGATTGGGAAAATCAGAAAGCGGTGTTGAAACAGTGCCCAAGCTGGACACAGCACCGGCCTTGCCTCTGCTTAATGCCACAACCGTTCTCACGTTTGGGCTTAATTTCAAAGTGTGTGAAAATGGCAAATGCACCCATGGAGGCCAGGGCCACTAGGAAGCCCACATCGTTGATCGCTTCAGATCAACCAACATGCACAGCTCTTTAAAGCAAGTCCCCCCCCCCCCCACCTCTTGTGTTCATTATACGAATGGCCAGCCCTGTGAAATTGCAGCGATACGCTCTATGATTAAGGGAGCGTACGACCTGTATCGTCGGGCGCTCTAAGTTTCTTGTTGGAACTGTCCCGTGCGTCGGAAACCGTGGATATGAAGCGAATTAAAATATCGCGAATAATCAACAAAATAAAACGAGCAAATAATTTAATAAATGTCCTGCGCGCGAACTAGAGTACGGTGGGTTCGCTCACAGGTGGGTGAGCGTCTTCAATCCGCGAAACGCGTTCCTGGAAATCTCGTCGATGATGTTGTTCTCTATGAAGCTGAAAAGTGGAGAAACAGACAGTCGACAGGATACAACCACCCGAGATGCACAGCGTGCGATGAACTTCTTTTGCACCATACGCTGCTAATCGGAGGTGCGGGATCCAGGTAGCCGATTGTGATCGAAGCACGTGAATGCAAGTGCGGTGATTCGATGGTTTCGGTGCTCACTATCTGCTGTGTATGATGTATGGTTCAGAATCCGTGGTAAATTTATGTAAAAAATGGCAGGGGAAAACTGACCACCTTGCAAAGAGGCATGCGGAGATGCATGTTCATAATCACACTTAGGCACCGAAAGAGGACAACGTGAATTAATAGCGAACATACCCAGGCTAATGCCATCGTTAGAACTGGTGAGAAAAGCGAGTAGGCCTGTGCAGGACACGTGACCAGAAGGGATGATAACCAACGGTCAAGAGTAATGATGGAGTGGCAGCCACGGAATGGAATAGGTCTCAGAGGCTGTCTAACAAAGAGATGGAGCAACGAAATCAGCTCGTGTGCAGGCGGCATGTGGACTGCTATATTGCGGGACCGTGAGAGGTGGCGGCGGCTTGCGAGGGCCTTCATCCAGCAGTGGATTGACCACGGCCGGTGATGAAGATGGCAACGAGGCGCTTGCGGGATTCATACGTGCGCACATACTCACAGGTAGTGAAGTTTGATGAGGCCCTTGAATGCGTCGTCTCTTATGGAAAAGCTTGACGATCCCAGAAGGCTGCAAACGCCACGTGGCACACGTCATCGCACGTCATTTTAAAAAAATTAACCCGTAAAAACAAAGTTTTTCACTCTAAATCCTTTATATGCGTGGCGGCTAGAGTCCTCTCGTCATCTGGCTTGAGATGGCTGCCACCTATGGGTCAGATGATTGTCTGCCAGCATTAAGCAATTGGTAATTAAATATTTTTAAAAAATTCCCTAAACAGTGTAAAATTTAGCAATTTTTTTTCTCACGAAAATGAATTGTCACGCACAACGAGTCTGTGTGGAAAATGTCAGCTCGATTGGATCACGGGAAGTGGGTTAAAAAACGACCGAAAGATTTGCACGGTCGTAAGCAAGCATGCACGCAAGCAAGCGAACTTAATATAAAGGATTTTAAAAAAAGGCCACACCGATGCCCTGCACTCCAATTGCCGACGTGTCGATCACTGGCGTCGTTGGCTCGGTGCAATCCCCCAGAGCAGAGCAGTAAAATTACTCTGGCGTTACCATTAACTCGAGACTCGTTCCGAAAAAATATCGATTGCTGGTGGAGTGCAGCTACGTACACAGAGTTATTAGTGTGTCTCTGTGTAATGAAATGCTTGCTGTAACAATTACATTTGACCGGAGGACCCAGGAAGATACAAATAAAAAAAAGTATATTGTTGAAAATTAAGTCCATAAATGCCAAACTCCACCAATGTAAGATGACTGTCGTAAAAATACCGATTATTCAGGCATTAGATAAAACAACCCGGTTAAATCTTAATGCAGCGTTGGATGTAGTTGGCGTGTAGCCAGCCAGTAACCAATGGTTGCAGTCCCTTTGTCACCTTTATAATGCCAAGTGGTGTGGCGAAAAGTACTCCCTTCTGCGACAAAGTGGACCCTGGCTATAATACGTCGTGACATCCAGAAGAGTAGGCAATTGTGCACTGGTTTAGACACCTCCCAGTTTATCCAACTCGTACTCACCAGCGCGGTGAATTTGTGGTATGTACTGAAGGTGGGGAGCAGTGGTGCAGTGGATAGAGCACTGCATTATGAACCTCGTGACTCAGCTTTGATTCCCGGCCACGGCTAATATGAATAGCGAGTGATATCTGAACCGGTCCTGGTTGCCTGCCCACCCACCTACCCACCTTAATCAAACCTCACTGACGAGTGTGGTGAAGTATGGTCAAACGACCCTCATGACTGCCACGGCAAGGGAGACCTTCATTCAGCAGCTGTAAAATATTTTTGACTATTATATCAAATCAGATATTTAAAAAATAAATGTTCGTCCCTTTCTTCTTTCCAGAACTGGATTGGCATTTTACGTTATTAGGTTATTTAGATTGTTTAGCTGCAATAAATGTCCACACGATAAGCCACTTGGTTCAGCTATCATTAGTGGCCGGGTCGCTTCTGCAAAAGAGCTGTGTATCTCAGTGGGCCTTTACTGGTAAAATCTTAAATACTTTAGTTTACACCTTTTGGCGTCATCTGGTCCAACCCATGTGAGACTAGGCTCTAAGGAAAGCTGTCTCGGGTGTGGACCAATCAACTTCAAGGACAGTGCACATTATCAGAGTTGTGTTTTTTGTTTGCATTATGACTGCAGGTATTGTGGTCTATGTAAGCATGACTCCTTGTAAAAAAGGTGTCAGTTTTGTTGCCAGATAGAAGGGTAAAAAAACCAATTATCATACTTTAGTTTAGTTTACATGCAGAGGAATACAGTGGAGTTGTTTGAGTGAGAGGTTCCAATGCGGCTAAAAACTGTAACGTATTTAGAATGTTCCTCCTACGTGTTGTCTGGTTGTTCCACGACCTGTGATCGAGCACTGCGGAGGCAGCGAGGGTTGGTGGATCAGACACGTGTTCTTGGTTCTTTCGGTAAAGTCACGTAGAAGGGAAATAATAAAATAATAAAAATAAACATAATAAAATAATTCTCACGACGTTTCGGCCACAACGCAAGCAGCCGTCCTCTGGTGAAGAACAGGTCTGTCGGAAAGACAGCGTCTGAATGAACCTGTTCTTCACCTGAGGATGGCTGCTTGCGTTGTGGCCGAAACGTCGTGAGAATTATTTTATTATATTTTATTTGTATTATTTTATTATTTCCCTTCTACGTGACTTTACCGAAAGAACCAAGAAGATGAATCCCTGCAGTCACGAAAGCTTTAAATCGAAATTTAGATCGGACACGTGTTGAGAAACTCCCTTCTCGTTGGCGCTGGGGGTGCCCGTACCCCGGCTCGCCAGGAGGACGCAGTCGAGTCAAGTGTGGACTGATGCCGCCCGTCCCTTCTGCCCAGGATAGAGCGTTGGCCGCTCGCACACGTGGATTTTCTCCGCATTTAATTGGTTGAAAAAACATCGTAATACATACAGGACTGCAGAGCTCAGGACAAATTGTTGGTGCCAGCTCACCGGCTGGCTGCCTTCCAGCTTTGTCTGCGGCTCCTCAGCGATTTTGAGATGCAATTTGCATGAACCACGCTATATAAAGCGACATATTATTATGATTATTATATTACTGCGTGCTGTTCGGCATGATGTCTGACGTTTTGCTCCACGTCCTGGGAGCTTCTTCAGGAACGGAAAGCTCCCGGCATGCGGAGCGAAACGTCGGACATCAAGCAAAAGGGCACGTGATACATCCCAGAAGTGCATCGGAGAGCTCTGAAGCGCAACCGCAAAAACCAACGCAGTCATAACTTAAATTTCAAGATATATAGTTAAATATATATTATTATAAGCCTTGCAATTCTCCTGCCATCTTTGAAAATTCTTACAAATTGATTATTTGAGCCTTGCACTCGACCTGCATATAGATCAATATACATAAATAAAACATAAACAGTTCTGAGAGACGGAGCTCTTTGAAACTCTGCACCGTACATCTTGGTATAACTCACAGAACGTGAAGGGTTGGCAAGTGAGAAAATGTCCCGTTGGCAATCTGACTGAAGTCGGCATCGTCAAAGGTTCTGAGAGAAAAGAGGAGGAGAAAAAAAAACACGGGCAAATGTACGAATGATTGAACATTTTTTTGGCCGCAATGTAAAATTCAATATTGTAAACGCTTGAACGTGCAATCCTGGGGTAAATTCCCTTGGCAAAGCAAAAGACAGAATTTTTAATTAACTCGGATGATTTAGGGATATATATGGATTTTAAATACGTGGGTTGTTTGAAAAATATTAAAATGGGCTGTGTTTTCAAAAGAGCTTGATCATTTAAAAAATGAGTTGAGTTCAACCCCCCCCCCCCCCCCCACCACAATCATTGCAGGGTTTTACGTACACAAATATCCCATTGTAAGTCTCGTTAAATGGGTTCAGTGTTGCATACAACCAAAATGAATGTTACATTCAGTTAAGCAGTGAATAATTTCGGAAAACGTTGCAGCCATCTGTGCTGTTGACTTCCTGCCCTGTTTAGGTCCGCCTACACGGCTGGCTGTCTCATCTCAATAAAACAAAATACTCCCACTGTTGCTAGACGGCATCTCGAGATGGTATTTGGACGCGACATCATTCCAAATTGCACGCATCACCGTGTAAAACGCACTTGTAAATAGTTTTTAAAATGATTTCATGGAGCATGATGCGGCCATCAGTGGCCTGGTAAAATATGCAATGCAGTGTTAGTTGTTCAACAACCCATGACATTAATCAGCAGCGCGTAATAACATTCGCCGAAATCCCTTTCATTCATCACGGATGGCACTTTTCCCTGAGACGGTGCCAATTACCGAACAATGCGACGTTACGCAAATGCACACCCACTGAAATCAGACGTTGTGGCTCGTAGCCTCGCATCGCCAAAGAGCCGCTCGCACGTCTCTGCGTGCGTTCCCATGGCGACTTTAACTCGCGGGATAAAGCGCGCCCGCTACTAAATATAGACCACGAAAAAAGGCGAGGATGACACCGCAATTCAACGTGCACGTAATACCGATTCCAACAATTTTTTGCACCGCGCAAAAAAAAAAATTCAAAGCCTCCCAGATAAAATTCGCCGCGTGCGTTCTGCGTCTTTCAAACACGCCCGCGTCGAACGGTCGCAGCACGGCCCACGCCAAAAATAACCGCACTCTTGTCAGGTCCCCCGAAAAACATCTCAACACACGCGACGGTATGAGTGTGTGTGTGTGCACAGCTGGCCGATGCGGTGCGTGCAGTGCGGTGCGTGCAGTGCATGCGGTGCGGCGTGCTGCGCGCGCCCGAGACACTGCGGCGCTGGGATGCGGGGACCGGCCAGCTCGTACGTACAACGAGGTGGCATCGAGCGGGAGGTTGCGGGGCACGACGGCCGACTTGCAGATGACGGTGCCTTTCCCGCAGGAGCACTTGGGCCAGCATTTTCCAGGCGTCCTTTTCGTCGCGCACGACACAGCCAGGAGCAGCAGGAGCGCCGCGACGAGCAGAGGCCGCTGCATCCTCCCTTCCTGCGGCGGCGGTGGCAGCAGCAGCCTTCACCGCAGCGAGCTCGCACCTCTGAATCGATCACCGGGGGCTCCTTAATTAAGCGCCAGGGTTGCGACGATTCCACCTGATTGGTCTTAACGGGGAGAGCGTGCGGCGATTGCCTCCAGAGACATATGCACGGCGGCGCTCTGATGTCAGACGCGACGGCCGCAGATCGGAAATGCTTCTCTATCGCCTTTCCTTTCCCACGTCTCTCCTGCGCGCTCGCTCGCTCGCTCGCCCCTGCCGCTCGCTCTCCGTCGCACGCACTCTCTCCCTCTCTCTCTCTCACACGCACACAAACCCTGCACTATAATTATATCCCTTGCTATGCCCTCACAAACTGTGTTCTCGCTGTATGCCTGGCTCGATCAATGTTTCCTTTCTTTATTTGGTCTCTGCTCGTCTCCATCTGATTATTGGTCAGCCTGGCTTTTGATCTGTTCATCTCCCTCCCCTTTCTCTCCACCTCTCTCAATTCCCCCCCCCCACTCTCTCTCTCTCCTTCATATCATGAATAATTCATGCACATCTTGAGTCTGGCTTTCAACCAATAGCCAATTCCCACATTAGGAATTCTCCAAACATGAGTAAGATCAATTCGCATACATGGAACTGCTCATTTAAAGCGATTGTACATTGCCAAACGTTTTTTTTTTAATTCAGTACATATTTAAGATAACGTATATTGTTTCACGAAACATATATCCTTGACATGACTGGGCGTAGGCATTCCTTAACCTATTGATATTCCACAGCTCCAGAACATTGTCCCGTAATCCTGTGATGGCTTCGAGTGGGGCTTAATTGTCCCTCTGCGCAGCTACCGGCAAATGCGCTCACGCTTAATGTCCGTGCTAATTAGAGCGCCGTCCCTCGCAGGCGAAGGAGACGCCGCCACGCGTTGGAGCGCGCACGGCGATGGAGTCTGCGGAAGCCACCCGCTTCCCCGTGACCGATGAATAATGCAGGGGGCGAGATCGGTGGCATTTTCAGAAGAGAAGGCCTTCAAGAGAGATGCCTGGCGTGAAGCGAGTAGATCAACCGCTCTCGTTAAAGGTCATTCAGTAGCCCCCCCCCCCCGCCGCCCACTAGCACAGGTCAAGCGGTCCCGGGGATATATTTCTTTCTCTCTCTCTTTCTCTCAGCCAATAGGCAGTGCATCACCGGCGGCTAAGACCGCGATGCCCAACGCATGAGGCCATTGAAGACGGCTCTGGCTACGGGGCCGCTTCCTGGATGGAGAATCTCGTCAAAGGTTTGGCATGGAAGGCCACGTTAACGTTGAGCAGCCCAGCGTGCCTATGTCGTTGCCAATAAATGGTTTGCAACCATGATAAGCCATCCATTAGGTTACCCGCTGGGATATCAGTCCATTAACTTTAATCAGAGCCAGATGCAAGCCCATCAAGTCTCTTCTCCCGAGGAAAAAAACTGGAACAAACTGCAATTGTAGCGTTACGCCGATCACTTCGTTGCAAAAAAGCAATACAAACTTGAACGGAAACGATCCTGTAAATGTGTACACAATATATTTAAATATAGCGGCGGATGATGAAAGTTTGAGGAACACCCAGAAGAACGTGAGCTTTCCGTGGATAAGGACGCACGTGCACACATTACAAATCGACGCAATGGCTGTGAAGGCGAGCTGTCTGCATCACTGCCCACGGAGCCATGCGGAGAGTTGGAACAAAACAATCCAGCTACTTAGAAGTCGCGTGCGCTTCTGCGGCCGTCTGGAATGCTCTTCCTTCCGACATTAGGAAGCCACTGGAGAGATGCACTTTTAAATCTAGATTGAAAACGAATTTCTTTAGAACTGCTTTTGTGTATAGTGTATTGTCCTTCCTCCGCACCTCCGATAAGCACGGTTGGCTACGTACGGTGCGAAAAAAGTTCAACGTGGATTTTCCGACGAGGGACATCAGAGCGCGCTGATTGAACGCTGTCGTAATTGAGCGCCTTTCAAAGCCGAACGCTTTTCGGTGGAAGAGGCTTCCGCTGGAAAACGCCAAGCGGGCAATTTAGTCGGAGAGGTGTGTGCGCGATGTTCCCGCCGCGCGAGAGAGCACTCCGCCGGGGTAAGGAGCTCAAGGCCACGATGCCACGCTCAAAGCTTAGCGCGTCCCCCGGGCCGATCCACCGCTAGAGCTTTACTCCGCTTACGCTCTCTCACTCTCTCTCTCTGTGCTCTGCGGTTGAAACCCTACCGCCGACATCACTGGACATCGGTGGGTCCTCGGAAGGACACTTCTGCAGAGATGTTTTTTTTTGTTCTCATATATATATAATATTGAAAATCGCTGGATCTGTTCGAGACTGCATAGTGGCCGTTAATATCGTCATGCGAAGGTGCAGCAGTGCAGCTGCTTGCTCACGCTTCCGTGGTCGGAAAGGCATCCACTGCTAGAGGGAGCTCTAGACAAGTCCCCTCTTGAAGGTATTTGGCCTACTCCTCCACGCTGGTCAGACGTCTCGGAAGTCGTTGGAAGCGTCCGCATTCTGCACCAATGTACGCGACCTGCCGATCTACAAACTGTGACGGCATTTGGTTTACACGGCTAGATGAGCAGAGATTGGGGTAGGGGATTGCGGGGGAGGGATAAAGAAACTTGTACCGTTGTTTAAACTGCCGCGCAGGGAGATCAGATCAGCACGGTTGGCTACGTACGGTGAGAAAGAAGCTCAACACACACATGCATACGCACAGATCGGCGAGTGCAGTGTGCTAACTACGACTCCACTGCCCAACAAATGCCGGTGACTTTGGCGACATAATGCGTGCAAATGCAGTCCCAACAGCTGTGAGCACATCAATAAATTTAATAATCCTGCTAAGCCCCTCGTAAATAATTTTATTTCCATGTAAAAAAACACTTCATCAGCAAATATTCCTATTTACGGCCCGTGTACCGTCCACCTAGCACTGAATGTTTCATAAACGACGTAATTCGCCTCGCCGTCGAAACTCGCATTATTTTAATTGCTACGGTGTTCACGTTCGAGCATCGTTACACAAACACGTGCAGCGTAGCGGGAGTGGCGGTGGGTTCGCGATATCGCACGTCTCGCGTGTAGGCGGCTCGCAATCGTGAGAGTTGAGAGTTGCGTGTTGGATGAAACGAGTAACCACTTCGCGGGGAAGTCAACAGTGCTTGATTTATGGATCGACTCGCCCCCGCCGTGGGAACGCGGAATTTCCGCAAACAGCCTCAGGGTTGTAAACGTGAAATAAGCACCAATGCCTCAATGTTCATTCGAGTGGGGAAATGGCTTTACGACCCGTTTGACATTTAGACAGGGGTCACGACCTTTGTCTCCACAAGCACAGACACTGGCCACGCCGCACCGTGCGTTCACAACTCATTTCGGCCTGAGTTGACCTACACGAACCCCTAAATACGTGTGCCATTCCTCTCACTCCCCACGTCTTGCCCGCTAACGTTTACACAGCCCAGCAAGCTTGAGCATCTGTCGTAAATAAATTGGCAAAATGTGGAAAACAAATTTTTAAAGCTGCTGCGGTTTTTCAGCATGAATATTTTTTTTATTCGCAATTCACCCCAAACAATGCTGAACCCTTACTCGTCGGCGGCCCCATACGATGCACGCAGCATGAGCAGCAGCATCGAGGCCAGAGGTCGCAAACGGGTTTTGATTCCTTACCCGTACCCGGCCGCACCAGGATCGCAAACGGGTACCCATACCCGGCCGGACCCGTACCCTACCCGTACCCGGCCGGGTACGGGTAGGGTACGGGTATCGGGTACCTGATTGCGACCTCTGGGATGAAGCCATGTTGCAGGCGCGGGTGGGTTGATTCTAGTAACTTGAAGTGTGAGAAGTGTGAGAAGAGACAATACGTTGGGAAATGAGTGACAAACAGTTACTCACCAGTGACTCACGGTCTACCCGTACCCGTACCCGGCCGCACCAGAGTCGCAAACGGGTACCCGTACCCGGCCGGGTACGAGTAGCCAGGTATCGGGTAGGGTACGGGTATCGGGTACCCGGTTGCGACCTCTGATCGAGGCTGGGCACGTGAGCATCGCGCACGGAGCAGTGGGGTGGAGTGGTGAGCAGTGGAGGGCGGTGCGTCTATTGACATTTGTTGTCATGTACCGATATGCTCCCCTGTCCGTGCTCTCTCATAGGGCTCAACGATTTGGGGGAAATATCTCATCGCGATTTTTCTGGCAGATATTTGCGATTGAGATTTGATTTGCGATGAATGTTTTTTAAAGTTAAGCTTCAGTTGAATAGTCACTGTGTAATAGATTTAAAACATGTGATGGAGCATTACCACATGATACCATCAACATATGAACTGCTCTATATATTCTGATGCAAGGATGAGAACTTAAAATATATTGATTGCTTCCAACACGTATTTATTAAAATTTTCAATTGAAATAGAACAATCAAACATAGAAACATTGTTAAGTTAAATAGATAAAGTTATAATAATAAATAATAAAACAATCCCAATAATAAAGTAATAAGACTTTCCAAATCGCAAAAAGGGCAGCCTTTGCCATTTGATAATCGAATTGTTTCAAATTGCGATTTCGATTTGAAATCGATTAATCGTTCAGCCCTACTCCCTAACCCTTTCCGCACCCGCGCTGAGCAGCGTGGTAAAGTACGGGCAAATAACCTCCATGTCCCGCTCCGGTGTCGGGTGGGGGGTGGAGTGTCCTCATCCAGCAGTGGAGAGATAATCGTTCATAATCAACGTTTTTGGGTTTAGATCGCGTTATTTATAAATGTGTCGTAACCCTCCACCACCCGACACGGCCAATCAGTAAAAAAGTGTCACGTTGATAAAAGACAAATAGTTCACTGCTTTAGCCCACCGGTGTGTTGAAGCGTGAAACCACAACATTTACAATTTTCATCGGACGAATTGCCCGATGATGCTGGATGCAATTACCAGCGAAACGTCGTGCTACTCAAAAATTGTAAATGTTGTGGTTTCACGCTTCAACACACCGGTGGGCTAAAGCAGTGAACTATTTGTCTTTTATCAACGTGACACTTTTTTACTGATTGGCCGTGTCGGGTGGTGGAGGGTTACGACACATTTATAAATAACGCGATCTAAACCCAAAAACGTTGATTATGAATAATATTGGTCGCGAAAGCCTACGTGTTAGAGAGACAATCGGGTTGGACATGCACATGTCCACGCTTCATTAACCAGGACTGGCTGACAGGAGAGTAAAACCAGAAAATATTAGCATCCCTTCAGGACATGGAGTCTCATCGTCGTTATGATAATTCTAGCCTATAGCCCGTCCAAGTATTGCAGTAAATCTGAAACTTGCAAGCGGAAAGCGGACCGCGACGTGATATTTATTGCATTAATGCGTGTGCGATTTGTAAGGGCGCGGTGACACAGACCTATTGCATTTTAAGGTTATATAATCCCTTGTTCATCATGACGTCCTTTTTACTTTGATGTCTCAAC